AATCAAATGTGCCCATTGTCAGGTAACTCTTTTGGTACGTTTAGATTCCAAATGTACCAAAAGACCAAATGAACAAAAAATCACAAATGTACCACAAAACCAAATGTCTCTATCTGATAACCTTTTTGGTACATTTACATTCCAAATGTACCGAGAAATACAAAAAATCAAATCCACTATAAAACTAAATGTGTCCATATTATAGGTAACTAGATGTAGCTATATAATCAAACAAATCTTTATTATGTGTTGGGTCTTCTAAATAATAAAATCTGACAATTTTTTTCATAAATATTCTACTATATTCACAAAAAAAAAAAAATCAATAAAAAAATGCATAGAGATGGATAATAAATGCATAAATATAGGGATAAGAGGAAAAGAAAAAATAAAAAAGAAAACGAAATGTCTAGGAAAAGTCGTGAAAAACTAAAATTCTAAACAAAATAAACTTATGTGAAAAACTGAAATTAATAAGCAAAATTTTAGGAAAATGCTTGATCAAATTTTCAAAATGAGTGTATGTTTAGTCTAAAAAATTAAAAAACGAGGCGCTTATATCAAAACTGTGACATCCCACATCGCCCAGGGGAGTGATCCTTATATGTATATTCTCATCCCTACCTAGTACGAGGCTTTTTGGGAGCTCACTGGCATTAGAACTCCGAAGTTAAGCGAGTAGCGTGTGAAAGCACTTCCATGATGGGTGACCCACTGGGAAGTTCTTGTATGAGTTCTCAGAAACAAAACCGTGAGGGTGTGTTGGGGGCCCAAAGCGGACAATATCGTGCTACGGTGGAGTCGGGCCCAGGAAGTGGTCCCACCCGGGTCGGGATGTGACAATTTGGTATCAGAGCCTAATCCTGACCACGTGTGTGTCGACGAGGACGTCGGGCCCCTAAGGGGGGTGGATTATGACATCACACATCACCCAGGGGAGTGATCCTTATATGTATATTCTCATCCCTACCTAGCACGAGGCCTTTTGGGAGCTCACTGGTTTCGGAGTTCATCAGAACTCCGAAGTTAAGCGAGTAGTGCGCGAGAGCACTCCCATGATGGGTGACGCACTAGGAAGTTCTCGTGTGAGTTCCCAGAAACAAAACCGCGAGGGTATACTGGGGGCCCAAAGCGAACAATATCGTGCTACGGTGGAGTCAGGTCCGGAAAGTGATCCCATCCGGGCCGGGATGTGACAAAAACGCCCCTTATTAATATTTAATCAATAATGTCGTTAAGTTGTTGTTATTTGATTTTATCAATTTAACGATTAAAATTTTTTTAAATCATCATTTCTGTCTATTTATTTTATTCTTTACAACAAAACATGTATTTAATAGAATTCAAGTTTGTCAAATCCATGTATTTGAGATCCTTTTTCTCCCTTACCTACCTTAAAGCTGCCTTAGATGCTCATGTTAGATCCAATGCAGAAGAAGTTGGTATGGATTTTGATCTCGATCTGGTCAACTGGTGCAACATTCGCTTAATCAACTCATAGTAGTGCTACTGATGTTAGTGCTAGACCTGGAACGACTGCTGAACCAAGTTAATCAACAAGATCTACCCCTCCAAATGGAGTATTGGTAGGAATGCTCGTTCAAATGGAATCTCATGCCGATTATGTAAATGTGATTTCAATCTCCTTGGGACCGTTTGATTAGCATGCATGAGGTTCCAAATGAGATTGCTTTCTCAAAAGCTCTCTCACTATAAGTGGATTGTTTTTGCAAGTAGTTGCACCGATTTGGTACGGTTGACAAAACCCAAAAAAAGGATTTGGTGTATATTCCCCACATCACGAAAATGATCTCAGCTCATACTGTCATCAAATGTGGAAATGCAAGTGGGCAGACAATATTCTTTAGCACTTGGTTAAGTCATGATATAAACATAGATATTTCGAGTTTTTATACAATAAAAGGAGTGAATGCATTGCATGGGGATGTCTATAATTTAACAAGAGTAATGCTAGACAAATTAATTTTTTAGATCAAAATTGCAAACTATATAACGTATTACCAATATGAAATAAACACATTAATTAACTTAAATAATAATTCAATCGTTAACAACCATATCCTAAAATTTATAAAATTTAGTTTAAAAAGTTAATCTTCCTATTACTCATTTAATAAATGTGGGTGCCGGTAGTTTAGCATCCCCGAAGGAGTAAAGAAATATTAAAGAGTGCTACTTGTTTAAAGTAGTATTCTGCCTTTGCAAATTGCAACTCGATCTACTTTCTTTAAAGAGGATATTTACTAATCCAAAAAGGAATGATGTTTCCATATAAGGCTTCTCGCATCAAGGTTTGGACTTTTAAGGAGGTCTTTTTTTTTTTTTTTTTTTTAATGGGGGTGGCGGGTTGGCGTGTGGGGGCGGCGGCGGTCATTGGCTTTAACTTTGCATATGCTATATGTAGATTGGGAAATAATTTCTTTGACATTATTTTTCTCGTTCTGCACATTTTTATTCATTTATTTATTTATGTTTATTAAAATTTTTATTTATTTGAAGGTTAGAAATAAAGAAAACATGCATGGAAGGGAAAATAATGTGTGAAAATTATTTCCTATGAAATATTGTGTGTTTTCTTCTTTCACTATTAGCTTAGAATAGGAGGAAGGAGACTTTGAGCTTGATGTGGCTGTACTTGCAAGCAAACTTATTGGTATAAAGAAACAAATGTTGGAATTGCTTCTTAAGAGATAAAAGGGTTTTATGACGAAAGATTACACTTCCAACTACTTTTGAGAAAAAAAACTTTAAAACATAAATGGGTCATAGAATTGTTATCTGAAGAAGCACTTGCTATGTGTTCATTCAAGATGCACTTTCAAGAGCTTTCTAGAAAGCACTTAGATTTTTAATGAAGAGTTCTACATAAGTAGGTTATTACTTAATAGAGGTGTACTTAAAAAATTTACTTCTTAACTTAGTTATACTTAATGAAAGTTCTATGAATACAAAATGCTACATTTATAACGGAACATGTCAATTTTCGAGAGGTAACAATAGGACAAAAGAAACACCTAGTCTCAAATAGCAAGTGCATGTATATAGTGGCTTGGAAGATAGGTAAATGAGTCACGTTAAAGGTCTTTGTTGACAATTAATTTTGATTCCTTTATGAGTGGTTTTAGGAGATTAGGGTCCCCCCCTTATATTCTCTCTCCATTTGCAAAGGTCAGCTGTCGACGTCTCTGCGGGGATATTCAGATCGTAAGACATTACTACCTTCGCGTTACTGGAGTATAGTTTCATCATTCAACCACCCTTTCCCCTTTGCACAATATTCACGATGTAGCTCCCGAATCAAAGTGTGAATGTAGAATAGGGATGGGTAAAGGTAATGGCGGACGGGTAACCATGGTTATTTACCCATAACCATTTATGTTCATATCTGCACAACTGTTTACCCGTTGGGTAATTGCATAAACGATTATATTCATACCCATATCAGTTTATAAACGGTTAATTATACACATAACCGTGTATCCATTTAACCATAACTGTTTACCCATTTAACCATAACCATTTAGCCGTTTTTTAACCCGTTTATCTTTTTTTACCCATTTACCCCTTTTTCACCTGTCTACATGTTTTTTTTTTAACAACTTGAAAATTACAAAAGAAAATTTTGTCATAATTTTCTTTTTCTGACAATTAAATATCGTTATAGGTACATTTTAGCATGCATTTCCCTATTTTAATCATTTAAGTCCTCATACAATTCCAATAATTGAAATAATAGTTTACGAACAATATTTTTTTACTACACCCAAGCAAGTCTTTAATTATAATCCATACGACTACAAAGTAAAGCTTCTAAAAATAAAAAGTCGTCATTATCTTGAATACTAGATGATTCCAAGCTCCAAAATATTCCAAAACTAAACACTTTCGAACATTAATGTTTTAGCATTCAATCACAAAGTCTCATCGACTCGTTGTCACCAAAAGAGGCCTACAAAAGAAATGTATAAATTGAATTAGTATCCATTTAGGAACACCGACACCAATTAGCATGAATCCAATAGAGGTAAGTGGTCACAGAAGATTTACATTGTACACTTAGTTATCGAAAAGAAAAAAAAAAAAAAAAAAAAAAGGCAAACAAAAGCGATCCTTAGTCCTTCTCCTCTCTAATATATATATATCTTAGCACCTGCAAGGGGAAGGTCTTGATCGTCAACGTCACATCGCAGTGGTACACAATATCTTTCTTGATCGTCAATGTCGCATCGCAATGGTACACAATATCTTCTATTTTCTTTCTGAGATCTTAGCACCTACAAAGGAAAGGTCCTGATGATTGTCAATGTCGCATCGCAATGGTACACAATATCTTCTATTTTCTTTCCGAGGGTACATATATATATATATATATACACATATATATATTAAATGGGTAAATAGATACTCGTTATAACCACGGATAATATCCATAACCGATAGATACTTGTTATAACCGTGGGTAATACCCATAACCGTCCATTGAAATTTCACGGATAAACGGTTATACCCATAACCGTTTGTTCGTCTAAACGGTTACCTATAACCGTAACCGTAAACTTTAAATAGACGAGTAACCGCAGTTACTCAAACCCATGAGTATTTTGCCCATCCCATTGTAGAAACACCTAGTCTCAAATAGCAAGTGCAAGTATATAATGGCTTGGAAGATACGTAAACGAGTTATGTTAAAGGTCTTTGTTGACAATTAATTTTGATTTATTACTAACGTCGAGGCAAGTTTATTAAAACGAGACCTAAATAATAACGTTATTATTATTATTTTTTTTAAGGAAAATTGTAACTTTATTAAAATGTGGAGTTTATTTCTATTTACGATGGGCTCAAGCTTACATGAAGGCTATTTCTATATAGAGTAACACTAGAGATGATTTCCTGTGGTTATAATAAAAAGTGCTTCTTACAAAAGAAGTCTTTCAATCTTTTCGACGTACTGAAGAGAAGAAGCGACTGAATGCTAATAGCGCACAAACAAAACTATTCAATAATAAATCTAGATCAAGACATCCCAATCGATCTCACAAACAAAACTAACTGGACAAGAAGGAGCAAAACGTGCTTTTCCACACCACAAATTACAAACCAGATCAGCAAGCCAAGGGTGTGTGTCCGGGTTCTCGGCAATTTGATCATATTCGAACCACGGAATTATAGTGCTCACCAAGCCCAAATGCATGCTTATGGTATGACAACATAATACTCGAATCGGAAGAACCTGTACCGCTATCGGATTTGTACTCCTTCCCCATCTCCACATCAGGGAAGGATCCTGAGTATATCTTGATAGGCTTTTTAAGGCAGTGAGTTAAAGCACCGAGCTCTAGCTGTCCTCCCCATGCTGCAGTTGACTCCACTTCTTTACAGTAGTTCTCAAACCTCTCTGCAAGTGACTCGTCAGAATCTCCATCTGCTGGATTCTCCGACAAGAAAAAAGGGAGAAAATCAGATGCATGCTTCCTCATATAAGCAGCTACCATTTCTCGAAGCTGTTGGTACGTGTAAGGTGATGAACCTCCGGAAAGGTGGGTCAGCTGATCCTGGATAGCTCGGTAGAGGCAATGGCCATCAGGCTTTATTTCATTAATGGTCAAGCCAAAGGGTTCGAGCTTTTTCTCTAGTTTTTCACCCTCAATCATTCGATCACTTACTAAGTTGCTCTGCTCTTCTTGAATTCTTTGCTCCCTGGCTGCATCTTGCTGAGCCCTCTTCTCTCGCCTCTTCGAACTCTTGCTGGGCTTTGCCTGCTCAGGTTGACTGGTGACAGAAACACCAGCTATGGCCTTCACTAAAGTGTCAAGTTTACTTTTCTCATTCCCATTACTAGCACTATAGCCTAACGAAACAAGTTCTGCAGCATGTTTTTCTTTAAGATTAGCAGAAAGCCGAGTAATCTCTTCCTCCACCTGCTTTTTCTTAGCTTTTTGTTCAGCCTTGCTCCCTTTGGCAGCTGCCTTTTTCATTTCAGTTTCCTTGTCCTGAAGTTTTGATATCTCTTTCCTGTATAAACAAACATGTCGTCAATGGGGGAATGACATGAATGATTTATGGGAAAGTTAACAAAGTAGACTAACAGTTTTAAGGCACCAGCCTCAATGAAACTACAACAAATCCACATTCTTATTCTCAACCACTTCTGGGAGAGCATGAAAACGCTTTATGCATGTCATGATCGAAACAAATACCACCGCACCAATTCAAATATCTTGAAGACAAGTGTGCATATTAGACGACCACAAGTGTGTTTGATTACAAATGTACCGTATAGATTTAAGAACTAATCTCACTTGCTTTACCAATGGAACCGCCAGCCAAATACAACATCATAAGAAAATCTAAAACAGAAGAACCGATAACGCAGACTTGATGAGAAAATCACCTGTGCCTAGAAAGCATTTCGTCACGAGTTTCCTGTGTATTCTCAGAAGCTTTGTCTGACATTGTATCAGATACTTCTTGTGCATCCTCCATTGAAACAACCCTGAAATCAACTTCGACAAATTATAAAATCATCCATCACGAAAATCGCAATGTTTGAATCTTTACCAAATCCCAGCCTGACCCAACATCTAAAATCAAAGCAGAAACTAAGAAATAATTCAATACAACACCAAATCAAATCACAAAAAATAACACCAAATTATACAAGGATCTTCATTAAAGTCCAATGAATAATTCTACCATAAACAAAAGTACAACATAATAATCCCAATTGAGATAATCCAATATTAAGATTTGAAATTCAACATTCTTTGAAAAAAAAACCCAACATTCAGACTCTGTTTTTTGTTTCAGATAATTTGAATCAACAGTTTGGGTGCTTGAATATTATGCTAGGACTATGAACTTCAAATTCCCAGTTTTATTCAGCTGATGGGTAGAACGAAATCAACCTGCCTGAGAGTCCTCCTTTGCCGTCGACGGCGATCGCAAGCTAAGCCCTCTGAAGCTTGTCACGGCAAAAGCCCTAACCCTTCATTTCACTCTACTATCCGCAAAAGCCCTAATTGAGGAGAGCCACGGATAATTGGGGATTGCTTATTCAAATAGAATAAGCTCTCTACAAGCTATTGGGCCTAATACACCTCTCCATATACAGTCAAATGGGCTTTACTACTTGCTTTTATAAATTTTGAATCCGATCGCCGGCCCAACCCAACCAACCTAAATCCAAAACCTTCCACCAAGGGAGGATCCGTACTTCAACTAGTCCCCGTGTTCTTCGAATGATCTATTAGTTGTTGAGAGGGTTGCCCAAAAACAGTATACAATGTGTACCCAATAAAACTTACAAGTAAACAAGATGAAAAGATGGCAACCAGGGTTGTTGCGTCCATTATTATTCTTGGGTTCAATATATGGATCACGTCATTTGTCCGATTATACTTAAAAATAGCAATATTCATATTTTATCAAACACTTGGTGGGTATAATCGTCTGCAGAGCCATGTTGCATGGCTGTTGATAGATGCAGACAACTCTTGAGCGACATAGATCAAGAAAGTATGTCCATATATGTCGACATCAACGCAAACAAAGGCACTACCGAGATTCTTATGTGCACAAATCGATTACTACCTAGACGACCAACAAGTCGTCTAAGGCACTCCTCAATCATTTTTCAGGCCAAACTGACCACGCTAGCCCCTAATGAATCTGTCACTAAGGGCCAACCGAACAATCACGTGTTCACCACGAACTCAAGAATTTCTCCACCAATGCTAGCCCCATCGAATCCTAAATTTAAAGGAGGTAGATTCTTTGCCCTTTCACTTCTCGTGCTCTCATATTTGTGTGGTCACGGTTAAGTCACGTGAACATTTATATTACTATTTATTTTTGTCTTATTATCTCTATAAAAAAATATATATTGACGGGACTTAATCATGACCACACAAAATAAGAGGACATGAAAAATGGGAAGGCAGAGAATCTGCCTCCAAATTTAAATGCCTTTGTCAGTGGTGCCATCGTGCATGTTGATTGATGAGGACAATGCTGAATTGCTAATGTCATGCATCATGAAGCATGACCATGCATGTGGTTTTTTTTTAATCTTTATTCTTGGATGCATATGGAGGAGATACGTGTCATATTCGCAGATTTTAATATCAGGGCTCTTTCCAATGCAGAACAATCATGAAGATGCATCTATTCCCAACGTCATATTTTAGAAATTGAGATTCTCTATACAACTTTGTGTTTGAAACCCATGGATTCAAAAATTTGGATGTGACTTCTATTTATTCATTCTACTAGTTTACTTTATACAAAATCAAATTCTTAAATTATTCAAATATTTCTCTTTTAAACGGTTCAAATTTCCTAATCAATCAATTTCAAACACAGATCTGACGAGGATCTCAACTCATATTTCAACCCTCAAATGAAAGATTTTTTCTATTGGCATTGGAATGAGACTGCAGTGCTAGGGCAGTTGACTTACTAACACGTAACAGAGGAATAATATCTATCAAAACAAAATCGAGGTTTGGAATTCAGTTTTACTTTTTTTTAGGAACTGTTATTAGCATTTTAAAATTTTCATTTTACATTTCTCATAAGTATATTTTTTTTCTTCTAATTATAAAAAATTTGGAATGCCAAATGAAATTTTAAAGTTCTAATAACAATTTTTTTATTATTTTATTCGTGATAAATACATGCATAAATGCATTATTGAATATAAACGAATAAAAATTGAAGATTAATAAATAGGGAAATGCTTTCATATCAGTACAACAGGTATAAATCCTAAACCTAAGTCATAATTTTTGAAGGTCGGTCATGTAAGTTAGTCTCTCAGTCGACAACTCCCTAGCTCTAAATATTCCTTGAATTTCATGAAGGGACCATTCGAACAAAGTGGAATTCTATTGGATAAACTCTTTTCTTCCACATCAGCCACGTACATGGACACTACCATAATCACAAAAGAACCGAAACTGATGCATGCATGCAATCGAGCAATATGGGAAAAGGGGTGAAGGAGTTGGATATTCATTTTTATCAATGTGGAATTTATTCTCAATACGTTTTTTTACGTACTTTGTAACTATAAAGAAGTTAGGTATCTATCATAAAACCAATTGACAATATGAAAAGTAGCTAAACTTATAAGCATATGCAAGGTCATCTCATATATGTGAGATTCATTCTCAACATAGTCGAACACATTACTTTGGTAATTACTGATTAACAAAAAAAATTAAGTTAATCACTGTAGTTAGAATTCTCTTATATCCATCAGTATTGTTTTACCTTTTTATATATTCTGCAGGAAGAAAATCAAGAGTTGGGTTTCTTAAAATCAAGAGTTAGGTTCCTTTGTCAATAAGGATTAAAAATAGTAAATTTCATTTTTATTTACTATGATAGTGGTGTTATTGTTATGCATGCCATATTGGCATATTGCTACGTTCGTTGAAGAATTTAGCAGCATACACAGTGTTAAGATGTCCGGGAAAATATATTAAATATGTAAAATTATCTAGTTATATATGGCCTGAATTCCTATCTAGTGATCTCTGACTTTGCAAAATAATTGCAAAAAAGATGGTTCCCTACTTGTTGAATATGTTGTGTTTAACATTGGAATAGGATCCCTTGAGGATTCTATTTGTGGGAATTCGGAAGATCAATCAATTGTATCCGTTTATTGTACATCATGCGGTTATAAATTATTTTAAATTTTTTATTTAAAATTGAATATAAATATTACTTAACAAAAACTGACCGTACGATGTACAATAAACGGACATGATTGATTAAATCCCCACAAAAAGGATCAGAGAGGATCCTCGTCTGTGTTCAATGCTGAATTGCTAATGTCATGCATCATGAATCATGATCATGAATGTGGCTTTATTTTTTTTATCTTTATTGTTGTATGCATATGGATCGAGGAGATACGTGTCATATTCGCAGGTTTTAATATCAGGGTTCTTTCGAATGCAGAACAAGCATGGAGATGCATCTATTCCCAACGTAATATTTGAGAAATTGAAATCCTCTTTAGATCTTTGTATTTGAAGTCGATAGATTCAAAAATTTGGATTTAGTTTTTATTAGCTTATTCTACTTGCTTACTTCACACAAAAATTAATTCTTGAAAACTGTTCAAATTTCTATCTTTTTAACGGTTCTTATTTTCAAATCCGTCGTCTTTAAACACAGAGATTTGGTGAGGATCTCAACTCATATTTCAACCCTCAAATGAAAGATTTTTTCTCTTGGCATTAGGATGAGACTGCAGTGCTAGGGCAGTTGACTTACTAACACATAACAGAGGAGTAATAATCTATCAAAACAAAATCGAGGTTCGGAGTTTAGTTTCACTTTTTTTTAGGAAACTGTAATCAACACTTCAAAATTTCATTCTACACTTCTCACAAGTGTATTTTTCTTTTTAATTATAGAAAATTTGGAGTGCCAAATGAGATTTTTGAAATGCTAATAACAATTTTTTTTAATATTATTTGTATTATTGGACGTGATAAATGACATGTGTACATACATTATTGAATATAAACGAATAAAAATTCAACATTAACAAATAGGGAAATGCTTGCATATCACTACAACAGTTATAAATCTTAAACATAAATCATAATTTTTGAAAGTCGGTCAAGTAAGTTAGTTACTCAGTCGACAACTCCCCAGCCCTAAATATTCCTTGAATTTCATGAAGGGACCATTCGAACAAAGTGGAATTCTATTGGATAAACTCTTTTCTTCCACATCAGCCATGTACATGGACACTACCATAATCACAAAAGAACCGAAACAGATGCATGCATGCAGTCGAGCGATATGGGAAAGGGGGTGAAGGAGTTGGATATTCATTCTTATTAATGTGAGATTTATTCTCAACACGTTTTTTTACGTGCTTTGTAATTATGAAGAAGTTAGGTATCCACCATAAAACTAATTGACAGTATGGAAAGTAAGCTAACTTATAAGTACATGTAAGGTCATCTCATTTATGTGAGAGTTATTCTCAACATAGTCGAACACATTACTTTGGTAATTACTGATTAGCAAAAAGAAATTAAGTTAATCACTGTAGTTAGAATTCTCTTATATTCATCAGTATCGTTTTATGTCTCTATATATTCTACATGAAGAAAATCAAGAGTTGGATTCCTTAGTCAATAAGGGATTAAAAATGATGGATTTCATTTTCGTTTATTATGATAGTGGTGTTATCGTTATGCATGCCATATTGGCATATTGCCACGTTGGCTGAAGAATTTAGCCGCGTATACAGTGTCAAGGTGTCCGGGAAAATATATCAAATATGTAAAATTCTCTCATTATACATGGACTAAATTCCTATCTAGTGATCTCTGACTTTGCAAAAAAGATGGGTTCCCTACTTGGTGAATATGTTGTGTTTAATGGAATAAGATCCTCTTCGGATTCTCTTTGTGGGGATCCGGATGATCAATCAATCATGTCCGTTTATTATACATTGTGCAGTTAGAAATTATTTTGAATTTTTTTTTTAAATTGAATATAAATAGTACTTAACAAAAACTGACCGCACAATACACAATAAACATATATGATTGATTGATTTCCGAATTTCTACAAAGAATCCAAAAAAGATCCTCATCCATGTTTAATTATTGATAAAGTTCATGCTTGTTGTCTCCCTTTTCTCTAAGGAGTTAATTTCTACCATATATAAATACTTTATATTATTATTAATATTACAGTACTGTATCTTGATGCACTGATGCTATCAACCAGGACCGAAAGTGTGTTGGTGGGTTAATATATGTATATACATACATATATATATATATATATATATGTCTATGGTTCTTATTGCAAGTTTTTTAGACCCTATTCATCGTACGGACATTCTAGGAGTTCTAAATTATAATTACTGTGTGATTATATATATATATATATATTATATACAATATAATTTTTTATAGCATATTGTAGGGTCGGTTGAAGAATATAAGAATTTCGGGTTGCAAAGTTGACAAATTGGGTCTAATGAGCTGATGCTTTTGTGATAAAATTCCTATATTTGCGTGCATTGCCGTAAGATGTAAGATGAAGAAAAATATTAGTATGATTAGAAGTGAATTGCTACTTCGTCTTTCTAAAATCTTAACAAGTCACCATGCAAATCATCAAAGGGGGCATTTTCTTATCCAATCCAAATATCTTAAAGGTGCTTTCTCCTTCTTATCCATTTTCTGGTCAACTGTTTCTAGATTAAACAATCCTCCCCCACATTCATATAAATACCCAGGCAGATGAACCCAAAGTCCACCATCCCCAAGCCTCACAATTCTTACTTAGCTTTCTTCTTTAGGGCTATCATCATTTCCAGTAGCTCACCTGCATTACTTGTTCTCTAAGGAAACCAATTATTAGTACTAATGGAGACTGTGAAACAGTTGGCTTCAGAGAAGGCTGCTGTGATCTTCACAAAGAGCTCATGCTGCATATGCCACAGCGTGAAGACGCTTTTCTACGAGCTTGGCGCAAGCCCCGCTATTCATGAGCTCGACCGATACGCCAATGGTAGGGACATGGAGTGGGCATTGAGGAACCTCGGCTGCAATCCTGCTCTCCCTGCGGTGTTCATAGGTGGAAAATATGTTGGCTCCTCAAAAGATATCATATCCTACCATGTCGATGGATCTCTAAAACAAATGCTCAAAGATGCAAAGGCCATCTGGTTCTAGCTAGCTAGTAGCTTAATTATATTATCACACAAAAAGATTAATCTATGACCTGTTAATTAGTCTAGTAGTATACGCAGAAAAGAATCCCAATGCCGTTGCTTAAAGAAAATGAGTATTGAGGTTTAAGTTTCCCTTTTTCTTTTACTTTGTATGTAACTTCCCTGGCTACGTTCTATATATATGAAATGAAGTCAGATCATATGAAAAGGATCCCGGAGAGTTCTGAAAATTTCGCCGTCTACACATCTCTTCTACAGTATTTATTTTCATTTTTATTTTGTTACAGAGGAGAAAATGGATCGAACCCTGAACTTTTTTTTATATACTAATAATTATTGATCAATGTTATCATCACGTATGTTGATTGATGGGGACAATGCTGAATTGCTAATGGCGTGCATCATCGTCATCATGAATTGATGGCTTTATTCTTGTATTGGGTGGGATTAATATATGAAGACATGTGCCTTATTCTAAAATTTCCAGCATATAGAAGATCATGCTGAACAATCACGAAGATGCATATATATATTCCCAAAGGTCAGCCCTGTTGAAATAAAATTCTGTTTTCGTTTGGAATTTTTGGGATGACTTTTGCAGGGCTAGAGAGGTTATTCCTTTTTATTTTATTTTTTAATAATTTTTATAAACAAAATGATGATTACACTAAATTGAATTGAAGTAGAGAGATTCAAACTTAAATGTAATACGTAGAACACATTGTTTGAGTTAACTATACTAAACTTAAGTATACGTCGAACGCTTATTAACAATTAACATACGAATAATAGTTTTTCATAATAAAATATCAAGTTTCTGATACTATAGAACGTGATAAATAGCATGTATGCACATGCGTTATTGAATGAAATTGCAAATAATGTATCTTCAACGTAAAAATTTCCTAATCAGAATATTCAATCTCTTAATCTTCATTTGAAAATCATCCATACAAAAAAGCATTCGAATCGATAATCGTTTAGTCATTCAAATGTATCAAATAAGTAAATGGTGTAGGTACCAAGTAGCATATTCATGATGAACCGTTGATTTATTTGATACATTTTAATGACTAAACGATCATCGAGTCAAACGAATGATCTTCAAATGAAGATTTAAGATTGAACGATTCCGATTATGAATTTTTACGATAAAGATACTTTTATTTGCAAGTGGGAAATGAGTTCATCACCGAAAGAAAAAAATGCAAGCATTATCCTGACTGAGTTATAGATATAAACGAATATATTACAACACCACCGCATATCAGTTAGTATAAACCAAAAATATATAGATCATAATCTTTGAAGATCAGTCCTATACATAGATTAGTTATTCAGTCGACAATATTGTAAGTCCCAAAACCATATGAACAACGTGGAATTCAATTGGATAAACTCTATCTTTCCCCGCATCAGCCACGTACATCACACTAGCTACCATATTCACAAAGAACAAAGCACAGAACATGCGATGCAATCCGAACAATTAGCAAATTGATGCATACAGTGAAACAATATCGGAACAAGGGGAGTCGAACATAACTCAGATGCAGGTTATCCACTTGAGTTATAGACTATTGTTTTTAATCCCTATCCTTCATACGAAAAAAAATCATAATTGAGTACTTACTTACCAATAAGGGAATAAAAATATGGATCTCTATGAATGCCAATGCCTACTTTTATTTAAGTATAACATAATGTACAATGTCAAGGCACGCATCCAATAAATACTATATAAATTTTCCGGCTTGATTGAAGAAAGTTGAGTTTTATCATAAAACCAATTGGCAATGTGGCGGAGTAGTTATTTAATTATAAGTCTATCCAAGGCTCCTCTTCCCATTAATGTAAGATTCATTCTCAACATGTACTTTATGAGTGAATATAATGTATTTGATTATTGATAAAGTTCATTCTTGTTGTCCCCCTCTTCCCTAAAGAGTCCATGTTTATTATATAAAAGCTAATATTAACATATATTGGTATATCTTGATGCTATCAACGAGGACCGAAAGTATGTTTGTGGGTTAATAACTTTAATATTTATACATATGTCTGTGGTTCTTACTTAAAGTGTCAAACCCTATCCATCGTACGACATTCCAGGAGATCTGAATTATGATTTATTGTGTGATAAAATATATGCTACATGCAATTTGTTTATAGCACCTAGTAGTTTGGTTGAAGAATACAAAAATCTCATGTCAGAATTGATAATATTAAATATATATTTTGACATCGAGAAATTCTGTGAAAAACAGAACTGATGATAATATCGGTATGATTATAATGGAGTCACCATCATGCAAATCATCACAAAGGGGCATTTTTCTTATCCAATCCAAATATCTTAAAGCTGCTTTCTCTTTCTTATCCATTTTTCCGGTTCTTAAATTGTTTCTCCTTTCCTCTAGATTAAACAAATCCTCCCCCACATCCTTTATAAATAGCCAGGCCGTTGAACCTCAAAGTCTACCCCCAAGCTCCACAGATCTTAACTATCTATCTGCTTTAGGGTTTTCATCATATCTAGTAACTCAACTGCATTACTTGTTCTCTAAGAAAACTGCTTTTGTTTTTAGTAATGGAGAATGTGAGAGAGTTGGCTTCAGAGAAGGCTGCTGTGATCTTCACAAAGAGCTCCTGCTGTATATGCCACAGCGTAAAGACGCTTTTCTACGAGCTCGGTGCAAGTCCGGCGATTCACGAGCTCGACCGATGCGCCAATGGGAGGGACATGGAGTGTGCATTGAGAAACCTCGGATGCAATCCTGCTCTTCCTGCTGTGTTCATAGGTGGGAAATATGTTGGCTCGTCGAAAGATATCATATCCTACCATGTGGATGGATCTCTAAAGAAAATGCTGAAGGATGCACAAGCAATCTGGTTCTAGCTAGCTAGGGTTTCAGCTAGCTAGTAGCTACATATTATCACACTGGAAGCTTAAGCTTGCTATGCTATAATGTTTTGTTAATTAGATCCAGTAAAAAGAATCGCAACACCATGCTTAAAGAAAATGAGTATTGAGGTTTAATTTTCTTTCTTCTACTCTGTATGTAATTTAACTTTCCTGGCTACTTTCTATATGTATATATGAATTGAAGTCAGATCATATGAAAAGTATCCTGGAGAGTTCTGAAAGTGTTCTCTATATAAGCATCTTCTACTAATTATTATTATAAGTAATTGCGTACTGCTTTATATTTCCCTATCTGCCAAATCAGCAATGGATCGAACTGCGACCATTGACTTATATAAAATTTGAAAGAGAACCACTTTTTGCACTACAAAATATATAGTCATAATGCACCCTTCTTGCCTTAATTTTCTTCTTTAAGAAGACGTATTGCAATATGATTATTTCTGTTTTGGAGTGTCAATAGCAGTTTTAATTGGTAAATGCTTATTATTTCAAATTTTATTGTTGACTTGGGCGGCCAGTGATATGTACCCGACATCATTGCATAAAACCAAAAATAACAAAAATCTTGTAGAAGTGAGAATGCCACTTAGGTTGGGAATGAAAAGTTGGGTTGTCCAATAAAACTATAAACTGCAGAGCGTTTTTCATCTATTTGTGAGTGTTCAAGAAAGATTGTTCCATGCAAAGCTATATATATTGCAATATAGAATAAGGTCTAACAAAGTAGATCACTTTTTATTATCATCAAGGTTTCTGAATATATATTTGATCAATAATATTGTTAGAATAATGCTAGAAAGACTAAATTTGTAGACAAAATTTTGTAAACTAAATGACATGGAAGTTGATGATTGAATTATGACTTAAGCGTTGATAAACATGCTTATTCCTATGGATGACACATCATTTAGTTTGCAAATTTTGTCTATAGCTTTAGTCTCTCTAGCATTATCCATATTGTTAATTTCCCAATATCAATTAACTTATCCACTAGCTTAGGGCGTATATATCCATTTCCCACTATATATGTGTGTGTATGTGTGTGTGTGTATGTATATATGATGCAGATATAGTTTTCATTATTATTTTAATTCGTTGTATATGAGTCACTAATATGGAATAACCATAAGATAAGAATCCAAGCCTTTGCATGTATATATATAGGAAACACTATATATATTAGTCTATAAGAAGCAAAAGATGAAAGGGTTGGTTCTCAGCATTCTGGCGCTGCCATAGACTAGAGTATCAATATCTCTTGGCTTTAACAACTGCCAACTGAATTTCGGTACGCCATGTGCTTGACGCTTTTACGCAAGATGCATCCATACAACCGAGGATGTATATGTCCTCTTGTATCGACAGCTCTCATCTCAGTTACACAGCAAAATCTCTTGAGACGCTAAAGGATCTAAGAAAGACAATGATAATTAGATACCCTAAGCTTTCTTTGCCTTGTATTCCTCCAAATCCAATAGAACAAAAAGTTATCCACTGTGGCCTTCAGAATAAGCAATTAATTTACTCGATGATATATAATCTGACCTCACATTATATTCTAACGCTTTCCTCCAAGAAGAAGAATTAATCCTCATCATCTCTACTAAGGGGGGATGTTTCTTAAAACGTGTGGATCATGGCAAGTTTGGAAAATCAGTAGCATCAGAACGTGTATGAATAATGTATCAGCTCACACGTGCCCGGCGAGCCCCTACGTGTGAAAAGGAATCGGGCAAGTTGGTGGGCGCAACAGAAGAGAATCACACAGCACCGAAAGCCATAGATCTCATTCCCCATAAATCTGCACAGGGATTCAAGGGAACGTGATTGAGAGAATCTGGTATAAAGACCAGCTGCCTTATAGAAAATTTCTCTACTTTTGTTAATTGTGTCTTGAGACAGTACGTAGTGAGTATTTATTTGGGTTAAATCTTCACAACCTGAAAAGAAATGGTGCATAGGCCATCCACGTGTGTCATATATCAATTTAACCACTCAATTATAACTAGTAAACTAATTAATTCATTTCATTCGTGCGCAAAGGACATATAGGACATATACACTACTCTCGCCAATAGACCTAACGCACAACTCTTCATTTTACTCGAATCAGTCGCTAATCATGTATTGCATGCAGGAAAAGCATCTGCAACTTGTTCAATCTAACAGAACATGCTAGTCTTTATCATAAAAAAGTAGATTTTTTTTATTAGGGCATCTAAGTAAAGACCATCTTCTTTTGAATATTTTTGTTGTTGAAAGGAAGCAAGCAGTCCACACCCTATGCTGCTTCTATAAATAGTCCAGTATGAGAGCTCAAATTAATATTCAAACAACCTTAAGCCTTCAACCCTTCTCTCTCTAGCTACCCTATCTAATTCTCATCTAATTCCAAAACCCAATCCAACCATTGGATCGAGTTCAATCTGAATTCGATCCGATGGTTTTGATCAAATCTTAAGTTAACAAGTATTCTCAGGTAAAACTTTGCCATATTTGGTTTACTTTTCCATTCAAGGAAAAAGTTTACCATATTGGGAAGATATTCCTGATCAAACGAGTTTTCTAAGATGGACAAAGTAATGAGGTTGGCATCAGAGAAGGGTGTGGTGATTTTTAGCAAGAGCTCATGTTGCCTGTGTTATGCAGTCAACATTCTATTCCAAGAAATTGGGGTGAGTCCTGTGGTTTATGAGATTGACCAAGATCCCGAGGGCCGGGAAATGGAGAAGGCTCTTACGAGGATGGGGTGTACCGCGCCTGTGCCCGCGGTGTTCATAGGTGGAAATCTCATTGGATCGACCAACGAAGTTATGTCCCTCCACCTAAAAGGCCAGCTGATCCCAAAGCTGAAGCCTTACCAGTAGCAGACATGTCTTAATTAGTTAACTACTCAAATATCATGTTGAAAATAAAAATAAACTGGCTCAAATTAGTACTGTAGTGAGCTTTGTATTAAAAAAAGTCCATGTAGTGCTCTTGTTTTTCCTCCTTAAAATACTTATGTAGTGTTTCATGTGTATTGTATTCTATAAGATTTGATCAGCTATAGCTTGTAACCTAAACCATGTTTCCTATTTTTAATGAAGTAGCTTTTCTATATGTCTTGGTGCACCATTATTTGAGTATCCTCTTCTCCGTACATTAGAGCAATTTATAGAATATATAAGTTCATGTTAATTTTTTTATATGCTTAGAATATTGCAGTAATGCAGATTGCAGAAATAAAATACAAAGAAAGAATGAAAAGCTCTCTTTCTACAACTTGAAACCAAAATTTAAGTGAATTACCTCCAACTAAGTTTATTGAACATGAGGAAGAAATATTCTTGGGTAAATTACATTTTACCCCCTCAAGTTTTGGTGCAATTGTAACATCATACAATATCTTTAAAACATTTCAATCTCATACTTTTATTATTATTTTCATTTCAATTTCATACATCCGTTAGAAAATTTGTTAAGTTAACAGTTAAGTGATGACGTGGCAAATATGAGGTTCTCATTTATGCTGACGTGGCTACCAAACATGTGCCACGTGGCATGAATAATTAATAAAAAATTAAAATCTAATTTGAATATTAACATATTAAAATAATTAATTAAAAAAAATATCATAAATCTTCATCTTCCCCACCTGAGCCACCCCTTCTCCCACCACCACCCATTGGCCCACCCAAGCCACCCTTCTCCCGTCACCACCCCCATCCCTCATCACTTCCACACCTCCTTGTCTAACCAAAAATCCCAAATTCCTAATTTCCACATCTAATTTGATTCAAATTCCCCATTTGCGATTAAACCCTAGATCCCAAATCCAAGTAATTTAATTGGATGATGGGTCTCAGAGAAACCTCCAGGCCCTAGTCGTCTTTAGAGGTGCTCGGAGCTCGAGTCGAGCTCCTCCTCGATCTCCAAAATGCCGTCGTCCATAGGTGCAGTGTCAGGGTTGATGGCCAGGTCAGGCTTGAAGGGGGCGGGTTCGAAGATTAGGCGCCAAGAGCTCGAGTTGAGCTCATCCTCGAATTGTGTGGCAGCGGAGTTGCTGAACTCATCCCAGTCGAGCGAGTCATTTGGAGTTGAGTTAGTGGTGGTAGTGAGTCGTCTAGCAGAGGTGGGGACATTTAGGTGGTTGTTTTATGTGAGAACAACGACGAAGGGACGGGCAGAGAGTGAGCGAGAGTTGCTGATTGACATAGGAGACTGGGGGTGAAGGGCTTCACTTGGAAAAAGAAATTGAGGCAAGGGTTTAAGGCAGTGATAAAGGTGGAGGAAAATTGAAGGGTCTCTGGGTTGCTCAGTGTTAGATCCCACATAGCTCAGGGGAGTGAATCCTCTATGCTTATATATACATGGCTACCTCTATATAGCGCGAGGCCTTTTGGGAGTTCACTGACTTCGGATTCCATTGGAACTCCGAAGTTAAGCAAGATTGGGCTGAAGCAATCCCAGGATGGGTGACCCATTGGGAATTTGCTCGTGAGTTCCCAGAAACAAAACCGTGAGGGCGTGGGCGGGGCCCAAAGCGGACAATATCGTGCTAGGACGGAGTCGAGCTTGGGATGTGGTGGAGCCCGGGTCGAGATGTGACAATTTAGCATCAGAGCTAATCCCTGACCTGAAGTGTGCCGACGAGGATGTTGGGCCCCTAAGGGGGGTGGATTGTTAGATCCCACATCGCCCAGAGGAGTGGATCCTCTATGCCTTATATGTACATACCTACCTCCATATAGCACGAGGCCTTTTGGGAGCTTATTGTCTTCGAATTCCATTGGAACTCTGAAGTTAGATGAGATTGGGCTGGAGCAATCTCAGAATGGGTGACCCATTGGGAAGTTGCTCATGAGTTCCCAGAAACAAAACCGTGATGGCATGGTCGGGGCTCAAAGTGGACAATATTGTGCTACGGCGGAGTCGAGCCTGGGATGTGGTGGAGCCCGGGTTGGGATGTGACACTTGGGGCTTTGCAAATGAGGAAATTGATGGTAGAGGTTCTGTAGGGAGAGGCTTGGTGCGAAAATAATGGGGGAAGGGGGTGGTGATAGGGGATGGTGGTGGTGTTGGAGGGAGAAGCTTGGTGCAAAAGATATGGGAAAAAAGGTGGTGATGGGGGATGGTGGTGATGCTGGAGGGAAAAGCTTGGTGTGGAAGTGATGGGGGAAGAGGGTGGTGATAAGGGACGGGGTTGGTGACAAGTGAAGGGGTGGCTCGAGTGGCAAGATGAAGAATTTGTATTTTTTTTTTATTTTTTAATTAATTATTTTAATATGTTAATATTTAAATTAGATTTTAATTTTTTATTAATTGTTTATGTCACATGACACATGTTTGGCAGCCACGTCAACATAAATGACGACCTCATATTTGCCACATCATCACTTAACGGTTAACTTAACAGATTTTCTAATGGATATATGAAATTGAAATGAAAATAATAATAAATGTATGAGATTGAAATGTTTTTAAAATGTTGTATGAGGTTGCAATTGCACCAAAACCTGAGGGGGTAAAATGTAATTTACCCAATATTCTTTCTTCTTCTACTACTTCTGCCTTTTTGTTCCTCCAGTCAACCTACATGTAGAATATCCTATGAACAAATTAAAGTATAAAGCCCTGAAAATTCTCTAAAAATATCTAAAAGGCGACCCAAGCCAAACAACGCTCCCTGCTTTGAGAGGATGGAGGAACGTTTATCGTACACAGCCTTACTCTTACTTTGCAAAGAGGTTGTTTCCACGACTTGAACCCATGACCTTTCGGTCACAAAGGAGCAACCTTTCCTTTGCGCCAAGGCTCACCCTCTCTCTCTCTTTGAAAATATCTACAGGACATTAATTAACTCGCTTTCAAACGGTAAAGTTGTGATTTTTAATTACCTTTTCAATTTTGTTACAAGTAAAATGTGATTCATTTTTCTGAACATGTGATTAATAAACAGAGATACCCACTTTTTTTTTTAGAAACAGATACACACATTGTTTAAACATTATAAGGACAGATCGATGCTTGTAACTGAAAAATCGATACAATGCAGATGAATTAAGCTTGCTGAACATCGCCTAAAGTTCAGAACTTGTAGAGGGAGACAAATTAATAAAATCTGACTACTGCAATCCAATCTTGCCTTCCCTCATAGTCATATGGGAAGGGTATAAAGAAAAGAAGAAGAGGTCTATTTTTCTAAGCATAGATTCTTCAACTTTATGACAGACAAAGAAAGGCATTACATTCTCGCCTTACCACTTCGTTTCGATTTCTTTACTTTTATTCTCTTCCTGCTCCTCTCCCTCCAACGATATACTTGTGTTTGGCTGTCAGTGTCAACCTTATCATTCTTGTCATGGAAATTACAGTTTCCATTATTATTAGTGCGGGAGCAAATAGCATTCGCATCTCCGATATATATTCCTTTTCGGATTCACCGTATCAGACATATCTTTCTCGTAGAGAAAATATGATAATTAGTAGTACAACTTACACTTATAAGTTATAACTAATACTATCCAACACTCATTCGGCTGGTAGCTTGGATGGTGCAGAGGAAATTATGAAGAATATGATGGTATTTTGTATAGTCAAACGAGAATAATTAAGATATTTGGGAGCATCTAGCCCAAGACTAATTGATGGATGGAGAGGTCTAAGGAATCGGATGATAAAGAGCATGTGTGACATGATAGTATGTTCTGGTATACCATATTAGAATGTGAGCATGCGACTCAGAACCAGTTGAAGGTGGATGGAGCTAGAGATCAAATTTTATTAAAACTATTATGCAAGGTTTTGATTTCCTGACATAATACTAGGGTTTAGAGTTTTTATTAGTGTTTATAGGATTCACATGCACTATGGCATATCTGCGGTGGGGATGAGGCTTAATGTGTATATATTCTAAATACAAAGACAGCTGCAAGCACCTAATTTTTCAAGTGAAATGGTCCCCCTCTCAGTGTCATTTAGCAAGTTAGACTCCAGTTGCAATGGTCCTATAGCCCTACACATCTCTAATAATTTAAACTCCTAGGATCATTGCACATGAAGAGATTGAACAAAAAATCGTACCGGAATTAAGTACTCTGAAGATTCCCCAATGGAGTGAGACAAGCACACCAGTTTAGTTGAGGGAAAAGGAGAAAATCATTTAAGTGAGTGCCGAGTGGTGAGCTGCCCCAGATAATCACCGTAGAACAAAGATTCATTGTTGGCTTTTGATGATCAATCACCGTCAATCTTAATCTGGAAATTCAAAAGAAAACAGTGTTGTCGTTTTTAATTGGAAGCAAGGGGAAATTAGGGCAGGCATGCACTTGCCTCACCTGGACTTTGGTGATGCAACTATATCTAGGGTTTGCACCCATGGCCTGCAGAATCCAATTCAAAACTGGTTGCGTTTATGGTTCATTAGGGTTTCGAATCAGTTGCGTTTACTAAATTAGGGTTTTATAAGCGCGAACAAGAAGCGAACTACACACAAAACTAGGAAACTATCAAACTTGGGCGACTTGCATTTTACATGGAAGGGTTGCACGTACGTGAACCAATCCAATAATACAATGTCACATGTAACATAACACATGTCCTTATATTATTGGAAAGGGTCACCACGGTGACGGTGAACTCGTTCTATATAAATCTTCCTAATGACTTGCACACGGGGTCAAGCCAATATTCATATTTTAATATCCTATCAAAGTAGGCTATTTATGTATCACGTTCAACGATCACGTACGTTCTCACACGTAAAAATTGATGCCATGCATGAGAAAGGACGTGTTAAGAGTATTCGATGTTGGAGAGAGGGAAATCTTGCTACTTAAAAAACATTTAGATATCTCTCCATCCATCTCCAATTAGTTTTGATTGAAGAAATATTTTTTACCGGTCTGGTAGAAGGGTTTGATTGAAGAAATATTTCTTCAACCAAACCTTCAACCAAACCTTTTATGCAGTGCTTGGTATTTGTTGAATTTTAAGCATGTGTGACACTTTTTTTTGTCTATCTCAAGTAGTTTTCTTTGCCAAAGTTTTGCCTACATCACCACTGTTTTCTTCCAACTTGCCGTTTTCTCTATGGAAGTCTATGTATTTTAATTTTGCACTAGTTTTTGTAAGCCATTTGTTTAGCATCTCGTGTTTAATCAGACAACGTGTCTTTTAATTAATACTCAATTTTAGTTTATGATATTCATGTTTGAGTTTTGGATGAGTTTTTCTATTCCTGTACTTTTATCTAAGCATCTTTTTCAACAACAAAAAAATACTCCCACCTGTCTCAACAATAAAATTAACATAATAACGATTTTGATAATGAATTTATACCCATAATAATTGGTAAAATCATATTGGTGCGGTCCATATGAGCTACCCTGAGCACTACCCCACACGAGCGTTGCCCGGCAAAATTATTCTGAAGTAACTAACAGTAACGAACTCGTATATTAGACCGCTTCTCAAACCTCCTCCTGACCAATCACAACACGACACGCCACTATCCGTAACACCAAATGAGGGGTATATTAGTCATTCGAGGCGGTCACAAATAAGCCTCCTCTCTGCAGATCACTGCTAGAAATCGTCACAGTTTCTTTCTTTTCATTCCAGAATCGATTCGCTTACCGCCTGTTTGGTTGCCGAGAAAATGAAGGATTTCGACGGAAAATGTGAGATTTCTTGGATCTTTAATTTACTATTATTGCAACAATCTTGATCCTACGAATGTGAAAAATCTAATCTCACGCCTGATAAGTTCCACAATCACTGAAATTGAGATTTCTGTTTTTACGGCTCAAGATTTTGCATTTTTTTTTTAAATTTTATATAATTTGATACGCAATTAATCAAGCAGATTTTCATGCTAGGATTTATTTGGTAAAAGATCGTGGCACGGATCGCACATCTTGTGAATTTTATATATTTTTTTAATTTTTTGGTAGTCGGATTGCATTTCGGAACTTGCAATTCGATTTTTTTGAATATTTATGAGATGAATAGATTCAGCATTATCTCATCGTGTGCAGAGATATCGATTCCATCGAGTACTTGAAGCACTTGGGTCATATGAGGTTCTTACTTGGTTGGATTGGTCCCCAAGCCCTTGATTCGGATGTGCAGATTTTTCCAGTTCTTTCAAAGAATCAATCGTCATTTGCTGAATTCGCAGAGGTAAGAATCGAGTTTTCTCCGCAAAATTTTGTATTTTCGCTTAGACTTGTGAGCATTGTTGAGTCTTGAATTGAAAATATAGACTGTGCGGATCGTTGAAACACAATGCCAAGTGCGTATAGGTCATAAATAGTCCCAATTAAGGAATTGGGGAGTCTGAATTTTCGTGTACACTACACATTCTTTGAGTCTTGAGTTGAAAAGATAAACTTGTTTAGATCGTTGAAGTACAATGTTGAGTAGGATGTCATGAAAACAGTCCTCGGAAAAGGAATTGTGGGGAGTCTGAATTTTCGTTTACACTATGCATTCTTCAGTCTTGAGTTAGGAAGATTGACTGTTCGGATCGTTGAAAAGCAATGGTGAGTGCTTATTGCTTAATGTATAAACAATCCTGATGAAGGAATAGGAGGAGTCTGAATTTTTGTTTGCACCAAGTAGTCTTGAATGTTGTTTGTTAAAGATTATGGGGAGCTCTCTTTCATGTGTAGTCTAGTCTTGAATATTACTTTCGAGAAACGAGATTTGATATCCCAAATTTGGGGGTTTCTTATGCTCTGTTTATTTTTTCAGGTGGGCTGCGCGAGTCTGAAATTTTCGAGTAGAGGAGGTTGTCTGTTTGGGATTTCGAGTTTGGAGAAGAAGAAAGGAGAAGGGGAACATATGCTATGGGGCAAAGAGGGGAGCATATAGCACTCAAGTTCCGGATTTACGACGGGACAGATATAGGACACAATAGTTATGCACCATCTATGACAGTATCATCTCTTAAGAAAAGGCTACTTGCTGAGTGGCCTCAAGGTAATTTGATTATTCTTTGCTCGATGAAATTGGAATTTGATGAACTTGATTTGCTGAAAACGAGATTTGATGAACTGATCGTGCGATAAATAGATACATTCATACAAAATTTAGCTGCACTTAATGTATGTATACATGTTTCGATCACTGCAGCAAAAACAGTGACGCCGAAGTCAGTAGACGAAGTGAAAATCATACATGGTGGCAGAGTTTTAGAGAATAGCAAGACACTTGCTGATTCCAGAATAACCGCGGGCAATGAGACCGGTGAGGCTGTGATCATGCATGCCGTAGTACAGCCTCTTGTACCCAAAAACAAAAAGACAGGTTAACTTGTTTAAATCCTCGTTTTAATCAAGCTGTTTCGTCACAAATGCAGATTGACGTTTGTGTTTGTTCGAAAAATCTTGAAATCTTCGAACAACGATCTTGTTTTGTAAGCTATGAAATGTTCATGGAGGATGTTCAGTGCCTAATGTCTATATGGGATGAGTTTTGTGCAGGTAAAAACCAGAAAGATATGCAAAAGATGAACTCATGCTCTTGCACCCTCCTTTAATCTGGGTAGCAGGCTCTCTGCAGCTTCGGTTGCAGCGGACGGATCGCGTTTGATTTTCACAATTTTTTTTGTAATTTTTTCTTTCATATTTCATGTAAGTGCAATGTAAAATTTTCATTCGAGTATGTAGTCATGCGGTTAAAGTTGCCTTTGTTGTTTTAGTGCTCTTTTGTCAGCACATCATATGTGTTACTATTTCACGTGTCATAATGCAGCTAGTTTCGTTTCAAGTACAACTAAAAGGTTCTCGTGTATGGGATTTATCCTAATACCATGTTTACTTACTCAAAATGAGCAATTTCAAGGGTATTGAAAAATTAGTTTTGGGCAATACATAATCTGTAATCCAAAATACTTGAAAAAGGTATATGGATTTCACATTACAATCCGTAATCCAAAATACTTGAAAAGAGTGTACAACAACATACAAGATGAAAATAAAGGTGTAGAGAAATTCTTTGTATATCTCTTATCTGGCCTTTATTTATGGTAAACATAACGACCGTTACCTCATGTTTCCAATTTTTTCCTGTACAAGCAGTGTTATACTTTAAACTAATTTAGAGCACGAAAATGAAATTCAACCTCGGATTTTAAGAAACTTGTATCCGCTCTAGCCAACGTGGATCTTTTAGCGGTTAAAAAATAGTTTTGGGCCTGCATGAATTAGGAATGGGTCCAAGGCCCAATCATTTAGGCGTCGTCGTCTTCTCCTTCAGACTTGATTGACAAAGTCCGTAGAGACAGCTACCTTGTCTCCTCAAACACTCTTTACCTCCAATCCATTCAACAACTCCGGCATTCTCCTGCCGCAGCAACCACCCATGGAGGAAGACTCTTCGGCTGCGCCGCCCACTCTTACCCGCCAAGATTTCGGAAAGATGGAATACGGGTAATATTAATAATATCACAAAACGCATCCTCCTTTTTCGGTTTCGTGTTTTCGCGGGTTTTATCTCACCAACCGCTGAATCTGTTAATGTTCGTTCTTGTTTCTGATAGATGCGATCATTATCGGAGACGATGCAAGATTCGTGCCCCTTGCTGCGACCAGATTTTCCCCTGCCGCCACTGCCACAACGAAGCCGCGGTAATATATATATATATATATATGTGTGTGTGTGTGTGTGTGTGTGTGTGTATGTATGTATGTATGTATGTATGTATATGTGTGTGTGTGTGTGTGTGTGTGTGTGTGTTCATATGTAATTTGGGATTTTTTAACTTTTGTATTTGATTTTGTATGTTTTATGGTAATTAGAGCTCCCTAAGCAACCCGAAAGACCGCCATGAGCTTGTCAGGCACGATGTCAAGCAGGTATGCCCTTTGCCCCCGCATATATTTGTCCATGCTTTCAGTGTTGTGTTTAATCATAGTGTTGATTAGTGTAGGTTTTGATGGAAATTATTAATTGGGTTTTGCAATTCATGTTGTAGGTTGTATGCTCAGTCTGCAACACCGAGCAACAGGTTCGATTTTCGCTATTGTATCGTGTATTTGAATGGTTTTGGACCTTTCAAGTGAGCTTTATTTTGCTTTCATTGTAATCTGTATCCAGGTTGCTCAGCTTTGTTCCAACTGCGGTGTCAACATGGGGGAATACTATTGCGACATCTGCAAGTTCTTCGATGACGATGTAGGCTAATTAGCTTCATTGAATTAGATAGAATGTCTGAAATTGGATTTCCACTCTTTAGGTTTCAAAAGTTTTAGCATTTAATTTCTGATATACTGTTTCGCCAATAATGCAGACTCACAAGGGACAATTTCATTGCAACGAGTGCGGAATTTGTAGGTTAGGCAACTGATCATCTACCTTTTGTTGATTTCTGTTTTTCTAATCTTGCCCTTATTTCAAACTGAACCATTGCTTTCGTTGGATTTTTGATTATCAGAGTTGGTGGTAGCGAGAATTTCTTCCATTGTCAGAAGTGTGGTATGCACTTACCTTGTTTTTCTGTTTTTGTTATTTGGTTTTGTAAATTTAATATTTTCATTGCCTGTTATTTTTGTTTCAATCATGCTCATCCGAGCTTGCACCTCCATGCTTATCAACGAAGAGGTTGTTTCACGTCTTAACTTGGAGAGAGGAAAAATTCCTCGATTATAGGGTACTCCCAAGAAAATATTTGTTGAAGATGGAGTGGGGCCTATATAACTCAGAGAATTAGAGCTTGTGGCTAGAAAGTTGAAACCACGGTAGTGAGGGGTTGGCCAAAAAATGAACAACCCTTCCTTTCAGTAGTAGGAAAATCACAGTTGAGATAGCAGATCCGTAGCAAGGGCCAAGGGGTGCAACATGAGGTCTGATTTGCATTTTCTGATCATTTTGCATGAAAACAGGTTCTTGCTATGCAGTGGCTCTGCGTGATAACCACTTATGTGTAGAAGACTCAATGAAGAATCACTGCCCTGTTTGCTATGAGGTCTGCGATTAATTTAGTAGTTCGATAAAATAAATTAAAATAACACTGCTGTTGTTCTAACAACTTTCTTGCTATCCTGACAGTATCTTTTTGACTCGGTTAAAGTCACAAATATTATGAAGTGTGGACACACAATGCATTCAGATTGCTTCATTGAGATGCAAAACCAAAATCAGTTAACTACATTTTATTCTGAGATAGTTTACTCTGTAAATTTGATGATTTAAACTCAAATAGTAGTTGTTTGCTCATATTATGTTTTGGATTTATCTTCCAGATATCGCTGTCCCATTTGCTCCAAGGCAGTGCTCGACATGGGTAATACGTGGAACTTGTTGGATGCAGAAGTATGTATTCTGTTCCCGTTGATTCCGCTTGAATCCTTGTAGTCTACTTTACGTTTGTGTTTATTAGTTAACATAGAATTGATTTTGGTGTTTGCCACTCATGTTTAAAATTTCGTGAGCTGTTTTAGGGTGATTCTGTGTTTTTTTCCATTAGAAGCAGGTAATGTCCCCCATAAGGGAGTCCTCCACTGGAACTGTGCCCTGCCCCTGCTTCTAGACACCCTAAACATTAGGAATTTCCAAGTGGAGTTGTTCCCTACACTGCTTTGTTTCTGCCCCCTTCGTGCTTTTAGTATTTTTATTTTTGTTTCTAATTAGGCTCCGGATTTGCACCTTTTAGTTTCTCATGGATTATCCCCAAGTTTTATAGTGGAACTTAGGTATTCCTATGCTCGGCATGCATTTCCCTGGCGGTTTCTTTGGATATTTAGAAAGCAAAACCATCCATGAAAGTTGCTATAGTCACTTTGATAGTGATGATTGTTTTCAAATAATAAAAAGTATGGCTTTGCATAACTTGTGCCTCCATCACCTTATAAGCCTCTGTTTAATTCTTCCCCCTCCCTTCCCAAGTTAGGGCGATACCATTGTAGATTTCTTTTATTGGTTATCAGGTGCTCTCAATCTTGTTTTGTTGTTTTTTGTTAGCACAGTTGTCACAGACCATGATATCTAGTACATAAAACTATCTGGTTTTAGTGGCTTTTGATATATACATTTCTGCCTGCCGCCTGCTATCTTACACACCGTCATTGTGATTCTGAAGTTCTTTTCTTTTCTTTTGGGTGATAGATTGAAGCCACTGCCATGCCTGAGGAATACCAATATGAGGTAGTTGCTTTAACCCGTTTTTGGTCCATCTTTCAGTTAACTTAGCCATAGTTTACAGACCTTGTGCATGTACAGGCCTTGTAATTGGCTTTCATTGATGAGGTCTTTGATCATTGCATGCTTTTACACAAATCGTTTTTCGGTCTAGAAGAAATGAATTTTTAGATGCAATATTTTATCAGCATAGTCCGACACATACAGAAATTGTCAACTTACAATTGCTTTTCTATTTATTATGTGATTCTTTTTCCTCACCTAAGTGTAAGCGTATCTATATACTATACCATTTCGGGAAAAAATGGAATGTAAAAAGTTGCGCTTGTAATGCTTTTTGCCAGGTATCAATTCTTTGCAACGACTGCAACACAACTAGCAAAGCCCCCTTTCACATATTTGGACACAAGTGCGGCAACTGCAATTCATACAACACCAGAGTAATAGATAGACCTACAAATCATCAATGACATTCCGTTGATTAGAAGGGTTAATGAATATGCGAAGGCTATGCAGTGCAGATTAGACTCTTTTGGCTATGCTTTCATCGGTTTGGACCAGAATTGTCCTATCGTGCCTCTGCCGCGTGTACACCATGTGCGTGAAAGAATCTACAGCTGCTGTAATTGACTAGGTTCCGTTGGTTCATCCAATTAATATCAAATCATTGAGTAATCGAAGCGATAGGAGAACTTGAATAGCTTCAATGGAGTTATTTTTTCGTGAAATCTCTGTGGTAATTGCCAGTGAGCAATTTGTCATGCCTGCCTCATGATTATAAGACGCTATTTCTTACTTATATTATAAGACGCTGTAATGGTAGTTTTTCAAATCGAACAACCTAAATTGTAACATTTCTCTTTAGCTGACTGCATGAATGGATTGGTAAAGGTAAACACTACGCAGCGGTGTGGCAGTCAGACCTCTCTCTTAACAGGTAGGCCCTGATTCACAGCCCTAAGTGAAGGGACAATTGCGGACTTTGCCCTGTGAAGTAGTTTCTTTTCTTGCATGCCGAGTAGTTTCAGCTGCTGCTTTGCACTTGACTGAAGGCACCGAAGGTGATGTTGCCATGGTGTTTATGTGTTGGAAGTGGAATGCGGGCATTCAGCCAAGCCAAACCAATCCCTTTCTGCTTGCTTTCCGTCTGTCTACAAGCGTAATGAAAATGTTCAAGTAAAATAACCATCAAATGCGAATTGATGTTGAGATGGCAGAAGTACTTCTATTATCAGATCAGGCAGAATCCAGAACTTGGAGATCAACCAAGGATTGACTGCGGGAGACTGCATGACTTGATTTTTTCTTCCACCGGCAATAGTGGCGGATCCAGGAAATAATATTAGGGGTTTCGGTAAGAATAGCGTGCGCATCGCGCAAATTTTTTTTTTTATACCAGAAATAGCATGCATATCGCTATTTCATTGAGTCTTGGTAGGCCTAAAGTTATTTGGAAAGGCATATTGCACACCTGTTAATGTATGCAAGGGGCAGCATCCAAGGTATCCGTGGACATTCATTGAGTCTTGGTAGGCATGAAGTCAGTTGGAGGGCATGTGAGCCAACTCTAATCTTCAAAAGGGCAGCACCCAAGGTATCCATGGACATTTACCAAAGTTCAAAGAGTCAGCATCCAAGATATCCATGATCATTCAACTAAGTTCGGTGGGTTGTCGACAAGCGTGACAAGAGCCTTGAAAAAAGAATGGGCCATAGGATATAGAGGCGGAGTCTTTTAAAAGATTGAGGGTTAAGAACTTGGGATTTGGATCCTCTCTGGATCCCTTCTTTGGGAATCTCGGAGATCAAGGCACAAGGATCGTTCATCAAAGATCGTGCGGCCACAATTAATGTTTTTTATATTTTTAAAAGTAAAGTAATTTCGTTTTGCGTAAAAAGTATTTAATTATGACCGCACGATCTTTAATGAACGGTCCTTGTGTCTTGATCCCCGGGATCCGCAGGGAGGGGATCTGGAGAGGATCCAAACTTGGGCCACAAGGTACTGAAAATTGACATCTCTCCTCTCACATGAATTTTGGTGCACAAATTGGAATTGGTCACCCTAGAAAATGAATTTGGACCAACTTTAGTGGTGAGACAAAGCAGTGAATAGAGTGATTGACGTTGTGGATTGTCTGTGTGCATCTTCAACTTTATGATGTGTTGACCCTTTCGTAGACAAGAAGGCTGTTGATGAATTGATGAAGTAGACCCCATTGATGAGGCTTGTGATCATATCTTCAATTCATGATATCATTGATTACATCACGAACTTGTAGTTTGAGAGAACTATCTTGAGGGCATATTTATTTTTTACTAAAAATGTGTTTAGGTAATAAAAAAAAAAAAACGAGTTTTAACAAAACATTTTTGGTATATTTACTTTTAACGAAAAATTATATTTTTACATTTCTCTGACACTATTCACTACACATTTATTTGTCATTTTTCATTAAAACTAAAGTTTTTTAACTTTTCATTAGTTTTCCTTATAAAAAACTATTCTAACAACGTTTCGCAGAGTGCATATTGATTATAAAAAGAATGGTGTTATTCACATTTATTTTGTTTACTTCATATGCATGCTTTGTTAATTGCACCAAGAATCTTTGTAGTTTATTCGAATGTTCACTTTTGCCTTTGTAGTTTATTCTATTGTAATTTCATTTTGTTAATACTGTCATTCTATTTCGTCAAATAAGCCAAAACTTCTTCCAATTTGAGTTTTCAAATGAGAAAATGTGCAAAACTAAGAAAAAATAACTTTGACGAATTGAATTGAAAGCAACAAAACTATAAGACTAATGAGTAATGTTAAGAAGACTAAATTTTATAAATTAAATAACATAAAAGTTGATTAAATCATACATAATTTAATTTGTAAATTTATTTTATAAATTTAGTTTAAGGATTACTCAAGACGGATGTATGACAAAGCAAAGATTCTGAATGAAAGTAAAAATTTGCGTAAACTACTTGGACTAGAACTCAAACCTCAAAAAGAGATATCACTCATTACTTTATGATTTTGTTCAATTTTTTATTAGTTCTTTTGGAGCTTTTTCAAAAATAAAGACCGTCGACCTAAGGATCTTCTCTGGATTCACATTATGAGATCCTAGAGATTTTTATATTTTAATTGTTTATTGTATATTGTGTGATTAATTTTTTTCAAATACTATTTATGTTTAATTTAAATAAAAAATTAAATAATTTCTAATCACACGATAAACAATAAATAGCCAAAATATGAAAATTCTTAAAAAGCCCACAAAACTAATCCGGATGAATCCAATTCCATCGACATGGAAGGTCAGCCGCCATATGAAACATCGAAGCTCGAAGGTCCCAAAACTTGAAACTTCTTCTGATTTTTTATTTATTTTATTCCCTTTTATTCACAGTCCACACAAATAGGAGAGACGTCACCCCCAACTGTTTAACCTTTACCTTCATCCTCTGCTGTCAAGTATCAACTAGCAACTTCCAAATCCCACCTTTTCTCTGAGCAAAAAACCAGTCATAATTACTGCAACTGCTAACCCAAAGGTTAAAAATCTCACTTTCCTTGAGAACTACTTTTGAATCCGTGTTTTTAAAATGATTCAAAAGTGCTTTTAGTGCTTCTCACAATAACCAAAAGTTATGTACTTTTTATAAAAAAAACACTTGATGTGTTTTCAAAATTCAAATTATTTTACGTAAAAAGTCATTTTAAAAGGATTTAATATTCATATAAAAAGCAGCTACAGATCAATGAATCTTATTTAGGAATGTAGTAATCACACATTTTATTTTACTTTTCATATATTCTTTTAATTTTCGACCGTCGGAGCAAATAAATTGAAGAAAATCAATAAATAAAAATTAACAAAAAATGTGTAAAATATAAAATGGAATGCGTGGATACCTCACTTCTTATTTAATATTCCTTCTTCTTCACCAAGTAACGAAAATATTTCCATACTTTGGATAAAAAAACGGATAAGAAAATTCAAATAAAAAGGAAGGACACAAAAAGCAGAGAGATTTATACAAAAATCTGAAAACCCAGAAAAGTTTGAAAGTCCAGAGAGATTTGTACAGACACCTGAAAATCCAGAACCCAGAAAAATTTAGAGAGGGAGAAATGAATGGTGGTACGAGAAATGAAGAACCTGGAGCGACCCGGAAGCGCGTCTGTGATTACTGTGGGACTTCAATGGCGCTGCTGTACTGCAGAGCGGACTCCGCCAAGCTCTGCTTCTCCTGCGACCGCGAGGTCCACTCGGCCAATCAGCTTTTCACGAAGCACACTCGCTCGCTGCTCTGCGACGCGTGTGATAAATCCCCTGCCTCTATTTTTTGCACGACGGAGGGCTCTGTTCTGTGCCAGAACTGTGACTGGGAAAGCCACAACATTTCGTCGTCCACGGTGGCGACGGCCGTGCACGATAGGAGGCCGCTGGAGGGGTTTTCTGGGTGTCCTTGTTTGAGTGAGTTGCTTGCGGTTGTTGGGTTTGAGAACATGGATAAAAAAACTCTGCTTTTGAGTGATGAGGACGGCGGCGGCCGAGGCGGCGGAGGTGGTGGTGGGTTTTTGGGATGTGGGGTTGATGGCTTTTCGGATTTGGAAGATGGGTTTTCAGACTTTCTGGTTTGGGATACTCCCTCTGTTGTTAGTCTTGATGATTTGATCGTTAGCAATCCGGCTTACAAATTTCAGGCCATGGGAGTTCCTCCTCTGCCTAAGGTCTGTATTTTATCCTCCTTTTTTCCCTTGTTTATCTTTTCGAGAGTACAGTATTCTAAGCTACTCTAATCTACGGAAGCCGCCTCGCAAGGGGCGAGCACCCTCCTTTAACTAACTGGCCTAACACACGTCTGCGTATTTTTAACAACTTTTACTATTTCTTGCATACCTTTTCGGTAGAAGCAAAGTTCAATGATGTTCTTCTCTCCCCTTCCCAAAAGAAATGATTTTCAAGTAATATTTCTAGATTACTTGTTTTTTTCTTTTTCTTTTTTTTTTTCCTCTCAAGATTTCTGGTAAATATTCAGTTTTTGTTTTACAAAAATATACCGAAATTTTGAATTTATAGAGTCCAAAGTATGGAACTTGGGTTTGTCTATCCTTTACTGCAATTTTTGGCACGGTTAAGAATATTGTTGTTGTATCAGAATCGCAATGCTGCTTGTGGCCAACACAAGGAAGAGATAATTCATCAGCTTCGTGTGCTTGTCAAGTCGGAACCCGACCTGTTTAGCGAAGATGTGGATGTTAAATCCCGCAAGGGATTCCAATCCCTCGCGTCCGAACCAAATACGCAACCAGCAAGTTTCTTCACAGGTTTTGGACATGATGCAGAACCAACTGCATTTCCTGCGCAGGAGGTGTGAGTCTATTTTGTAGTACTTTTAGTTTTAAGTTGAAAAATGGTTAACCGTGTTCCTTTCATGTAGGCACATGAATCGCAGTATAATGGTTTCAAGGCTGAAAATCATGATTCGTGCCTGAAAACATCAATGAGGAGCTACCTTCAGGATTGCTTTGTAGTTCCTGACAAACATTTGTACAACGATGGCACTGGAAGTCGTGATAATGAGGGTCATGGAGGGCAAAAGAACTCCAAAGCCTCTTCAGGTTTTCCGAAAGTTGTTCCACATGAGATAAGTTGTCAAAACAGAGAGACCGCTCTCTCGCGGTACAAGGAGAAGAAGAAAACAAGGAGGTATTACATCCCCATTTCTACACAAGTATCTTTTTCTGAGTTAGAAATTGATTAGAGGTTTGCGAAAATCGTTTTGAGCCAATGACATTCTGAGGTTCTATGAGTTTACTGTTTCGGATTCTAGAGTTGATTAAAAGCTTTTCATAAAGTTAGGAATTTGTTTTATTGCAGTAAGGAAGATTAAGATTTACATCTTTTATGTGCTCAATTCATGTTGACAACTAGAAGTTTGAAACTAATAGGCATCGACGCTGTAAAATCCAGTTAGAGTATACTATTGTTGTATCAGAAAGAAAGAGAATTTGGAACGAACACGATGTTTAGGAGAACTCAGAAACATCGTCGTGTTGGACATTTCAAATATATGTTTAGTAACGCAGGCCTTTTCTTTTTATATTCGAAGACTTGTCGAATCTTTTGTGGGGGATCATCTGATATTTCGACTGATTGAAGGAAAAGTTCGGAATTAGGGAAAGTTATGAATTCCTTTCGTCAATGGTTGGCTGTGTCTGCCCATCTAGTGGTTGTTGTGATGTAACTATAACCTTAATTATTTATGCACCTCCATTTCTGCTTGATCTGTCATCGTCTTTGGACCTTGTCAATTGACGTATATGTTGCTTGGAAACAAAAACCAGGTATGAGAAACAAATCAGATACGAATCACGGAAGGTTCGAGCAGAAAGTAGGACGAGAATTAAAGGACGTTTCGCGAAGATGGATTGCTGATAGAATGGCAAGAAAATATGACACTAGACCAGACTTTTGTTGCCTCCCATTCACACATCACCTTCTTCTTCAACAGCTTTGACAATCAGATGAAAAGAGTTTTTACTGGGATCAATCCGGACAAGAAGTTAGAACATTTTGCTAGGGTCATCAAAACACTGGTATACAGTCCCTGAGGAAATTAAGATGCTATTAAAGTTAGATTATGGATATTTATTGTTAATCTTGTATGTAGCTTTTGAAGCTGTAGTTCGGACCCTTTGCTTGCTTATTTCTGAAAGATGAACCATCTTGTACTTGTATTAGGCTTCTCCCTTTGTAGTGATCAAAAGAGATAATAGAAATGTACAAAGCATCTTATGTAACTTTGAAGACATAGGTTATTCTAGTTGGTTAGAACAGTGCGCCGAGCCTTATGCATTTGTTCTGTAAATTATTGATACGTCGGTTTTGAAAAACGGAAGAATAAATTCCAGAATTACATAAATCCAAAGTTGAAGCGTCACCATTGACCAAACACAACTTGCAAACCTAAGCAAGGATAAGAGAGGCACAATAAGACGCGATGGTGGGTGTCTGGTTCTGAAATGTCCCACGTTTACTTGATTGCGAGACCAATGTTTATGATGTTGTGCTGAAAGAGATATTTTCAATCGACATTACAACAACAAAGCATTTTTTTACTAAGTGGTCACCACTTAACAGGAAAAAACTTTGTTGTTGTTGTTGTAATGTCGATTGAAAAGATCTCTTTCAGCACAACATCATAAACATGGTTCTTGTAATCTAGTAAACGTGGGACATTCAGAACCAGTCACCCACCGCTGCGTCTTATTCACTTGGGACTTTTCAGTCGACATTGAGGGGCAAAATTGTAAGTTCAAAAAATGATGTTGTGAGTATAACTCATAGCTTTCTATTCACGTAGATTTCTCAGCTGGTAGGCTCCTATGGTTGAAAATTGGGCATTTGAAGTGGTTTACCCGCAAATCTTATGCCCACCAAGTTGACGTAGTAGTTTATCCAGAAGAACGAGTTTTGTTTGAATAATTCACATCCCGTGACATTTCTTAACTAATAAGGCATTGTCATGTTCAAGTTTTTTTCCACATATTAATGTATATTAGAATGTTACGTGACAGTAAACTTCTTTCATGTAAGTTGTTTTCTATCCCTAGGGTACTTCACCAAATTTCTTGTAGAAAGGCCTTGTTTTTTGGGGACCGTCATTCCCAAAACGCAGGAAAGTAGAAGGTGGCGCCGATATATTGTCCAAACGATGGAAGGCAGTCTGAAAAATAACAGTTGATCTCTCCACGGCCATGTAATTGGGTTATTATGGAATCCGGACCCCAAGCTGCACCCATCATTCCTGCCATACGATTGCCTGGATTTTATCGTATAGTTCGAAACCTAAACAGTCGGTTGCCAACCCAAAAGTTATGCCACTAACAGCTTCTGAACCAAAAGTGAAGGTTTCATGGCCTGCAATTCCGCTTATGGATAGTATTGTTCTATGAACTTAACAGGATTGCGGCAGCTGAGGATAGGCCGGAAAATGGTGGACTGAATATTTGGAAAATGGGTTGAACCTGGTGGAAGCAGTGGCCGCTTTTATTGCAACCTTCGCGTTGTGTCCATATGCAATCGCTGCCGGTGTCAAAGCCTAAAAAGTATGGTATGTATTTTCGGGTTCTAGTTGGGAAGTTGCCTATGCCTGCCTCAACAAAGAACTTGCCAATCACGCTATGACCCTCAAATTCGGCCTTGGGGCGAAGAAGGTTTGAACTTATGGTGCTATTAGTTTTGATATGTCTTTTCAAGAACAAATGGTCGAAAGGTAATACGTGCGAGCTTTGGTTCGATGAACCAGTAGCATTTTGCTCTCCAAAGTTCACATATTGAACTACACGTGATTTGATTTTCTCTACTTGACGAGATATGTACATAATCCCTTCCGAATTCAATCACTCCTGACTCCCCAAAAGTCCCCCCCATTCACCCATGTTCATGGGATTCCGGCTATGAATGGATAAGCTTATAAAATTGCTATGAATGGATGAAACTTAATCTTATTCTTTTTTATTGAAATCATGTTTAATTTCCATAAGAATATAAAGTAACATGCATGATGGTGTCGTGAGACTCATGACTCCTCATGAATTATTATTACAAAGTTCTAAGCCAAAATGCAGTTTCTTGTTTTGGATGTCGTAAATGACACACATATTTCTCTGCTGGTAGGCTCCAATCAAAGAACTTCCGTCTGGGCCCGGTAACATTACCAGGCAAAAAAATTTGTTTACCCCGGCATCCCCCAGTACAAACAAGTTGAGAGCCGGAACTTCAAGAGACGCACCGTCACTAAAAACGAAGCTGATGCACGGAAGCTGTCGATAACCTACAGGGGGAGGTCTTGAAAAGCACACATCAAGGCTAAACATAGGCGGAACTGGGTGATAACCTGATACAATAAGACCCAGTTGGGTTTTCTTGTCACACAAGCATTGTAATTAATTGTAGATTAGCCTTTCTTACTCTCCAAAGGACGAGTCCTAATTCTTGAAACCCAATACTTTGTGATGTACATATATAAAGGGGTTAACCTTATAAATAAAAACCATACAGTTTAACATTTTTATATAACCTTTTTGACGAAATAGGTTCGTTAAGCCTTGTCCAGCACGTTGAAAGCGGTGCCAACGAGTACTGATCAATCTGCCCCGGAATCTATGATGGTCCCGGTGTTGTGTCCCCTACGAACAAAGACTTCCCTAGGTATTATGCCTACTAAGTTGACGTAGTAGTGACTTTCCCCACGATACTCCACCAAACTTGTTGTAGACATGCCTTGTCTTCGGGGAATGTCATCCCCGAAACGCAAGAAAGTAGAAGGTGGAGCGCCGATATCTTGCCCAAATGCCGGCATGCAGTAAGAAAAACTACCGCTGATTACCCTTTTTTCATGTAACTGGCCTATTATAGAAGATGAACCCCAAGCTGCACCCATTATTCCCGCGAGACGATTTCCTGGGATTCTGTCGTAACGACCGAAACCAATACAGTCGGTTGCACACCCAAAAACTATATCACGAACAGCTACTGAACCAAAAGTGAAGGTTTCACGTCCCGCAATTCCACTCGCGGATGAATTGTCAAGGTATTCTTCTCTGAACTTGATAGAAGTGCGGCCTCTGAGAACAGGCCGGAAAGTTCAGCACAGGGCCTGGTTGCCCCAGGGAGGAAGTCCAGCGTTGGCTGGCGAGGGAGCTCGGGCAGGCCCGAGTGCCTGAGGTGAGTCTGACGTCAGACGCCTGTTTTAATTTTTTCTTTCTGTCAGGTGCGTGGTGTTCAAGTGCGCGTGGGCGCACGTCAGGGGACAGAAAGTCAGAAAAGGGACCCGCGGTGCACTAATTTTTTGTTACCGTTGAGGAGCCACGTGGCTTCCCCACACCCGTTGGATTTCAACGGCTACAAATTGTGGACCGTTGGATTTCTAACGGTAATAAAAAATAAAAAAACCTTATTTAATATCAACCGTTGGATCTGAGATCAACGGTCCACGTTATTCGACTTTAAAAATTTTAAAAAAAATTAGAAATGTTACCATTGTGCCACGTGGCACAATCTGGAGTGTTGGAATTCAAATTTGTTTAAATCCAACGGTATAGATTAATTAGGTGAATAAAAAATTTTAAAAAATGTAAAAAATTATTAAAAATCCGAAAAAAAAATTGATTTTACTTTTCTATACTAATATTTTATTGCTATTGTCTTTTCAAATAATGACACATGGCGCAACGAAAACGATAAAAAATCTTATCCGAAATTACAAATAAAATTATTTTGTATTATTTTATAAATAAATAAAATAGTCAATTGTCAGGACTATTCAGTGTAGGAGTGGAGATGCAAAATGCGATTACTATTTATTAAGGGCAGTTACTGTTCACTGGGTGGATAGCCCTAGGGGGCCTCCACCACGCTGGAACTGCTCTTAGGAAAGATGGGTTGAACCTGGTGGAAGCAGTGGCCGGTTCTATTGCAACCTTCGCACTGTGTCCATATGGTATCGCTGCCTGTGTCAAATCCTAAGAAGTATGGTACGTATTTTGGGGTTCTAGTTGGGAAGTTGCCAATGCCTACCTCAACGAGGAACGTGGCCATCACACCATGAAGCTCAAATTCAGCCTTCGGGCGAAGAAGGTTAGGACTTATGGTACTATTTGTGCTGATACCTCTTTTCAAAGAACGAATGGTAGAAGGGTATTGCGTGCGAGGTTTGGTTCAACGAACAAGTAGTTAAATGGTTTGAGCATGGGTAAGGTTGCCGGGGTAGAAGGGTGAGTCGGGGGAGTCACGGTGGATCAGCCTCATGGTGAAGCCATTGGGTTTATTCCCAAGTACAAGAGTAATAGTTGTACTCAAGAGAAACAAGGTTGCACATAAAATGAGAGAAGGCTTATTGGTTTGGCCATATGGCACTGATTATATGGTCAATGGCTTCTATGTTTTGGGTGGTTGTTGTTGTGGCTTAATTTCAGTGAGAGATGCCATATAGCAAAATGCTCAAAAATCTTTAAAGGTTAAAAGTTAAATTCACTAAATTATCATCCTGGATATCTTCTTTGTTTTTCCCCCTTCTTTCTCTCTTTCTTTAAAGTTTAAATCAGGATTTAGTTTTATTAATATCAGAATCAAAGGGTTAATTTCTTTATCAAATAAAGTTAAGTTTTAAACGAAGAAAGATCTCACTTTAACTAAGGTGACTTTGTATGAAAAGTTCTAATATAACAGAGACCTACTATATATATTGTTAATAAAACTCAAATAAGAAAAAGCAAATCGACTGATTATGTTTAAATGAAACTTAGGGGTTTTTGAATTTTAATTCTTGAAAAAAGATTGAAATTTTGACAAAAAAAATTGATGTTTTTTTTTTCTTTTAAAAGGGGGGACAACTGGTGGCAAGCCACGGTTATCCACCCCCTTCGAAGCCCCGAAGAGGTTATGGGGAATTTCACCTTATTTGTGGCCACAATCAAGCAAACTCATCAACTCGGAGCATCGAACCCGGGACCTCCCACATCTTTTTTGTTTACAGGGGAGCCACAACCCTCGCATTTACCACTGGGCCACTTGCTGTGATTAAAAAGAAAAATATTGGTGTTGGATTACATATTAATTTTAGTCATTTGATGTGTACTTAATCAAATTCATATTCAATTCAAAGCCAAAATATCAAATTCACATTATATTTTTGTTTTAATATTTAATATTATATTGAATGCCTCCCCATTAATTTTTAATTTATTATATTTTAGTTCATTAAATTTATTTAACTGCCTCTAGTTATTTTCTTGTTAATGCCTAAATTGGAAAACATTAGAAAAAAGAAATTGTGACACATTGTAATAAACTAGTGTTCCTAAACTAGAAAATATTGTACCTATTCAAAATTATAATGAATTAGTGTACGTAAACGTCCATACCCTAATAGATTTTACTAAACTAGTGTAACGAAATGTCAATACCTAAATATATTGCAAGAAATTAGTGGCACACAAGAAAATATGCAAAAACATAAGTGTAACAAAAAGTCCATACCAAAATATTTTCTTATATAAGATACTTATACCATAAGTCGGTGATGCAAAACGTCAAAAAATAAAAGCTAATTCAATTGAGTATTAAAATTTACAGTATTTTTCATTTAAAATTTAATTCATGGAAACCATAAAATTAGGGTTATTTTATTAACACCCCACATCTTTATGAATACACCCCACATCTAAAATGTGTCTCTAAAATTCCAGCTTTGTCCTCCATTTTTCTGAAGCCACCCCATTCCCATAAACAAATTATGGCAAAAAAGCTAGCTTAATAGCAACGGGCCACCCATATAAGAGGTATCCTTCATCGATATCAGCACAACGAAATATCCCCCATGCATGTTGCGGAAGTTGATAGCCAAGAACCAACGAGTGGCTGGGATTTTTTGCCCAGACACTGTGGTGGTTAGCAGCCGACATAAGGGGGTGGATGAGGTTTATTTTGGACTTCAAAACTTAATTCATCAGGGTAAAAACGAAAATTTAACTGAAAAAAATAAAATTATGGGACGTATTCATAAAATTGTGGGGTGTTAATAAAATTATCCTAAAATTATATAATTTTAATCTTGTATAAGACATTAAATAGAGTCTAAGGACTAAAATCAATTTTTAGTCTTGTATAAGACATTTTTCTGAACTTCCTCTTATTTAAGGATTAAAATTTAGTTTTCTATAAAATTGATATAATGAAAATGAGAGAAATGAGGGCAATGCTAGATAGACCAATTTTTTAGACCACACTTTCAACCATCTGATAGCATGTTAATCAACAATTAAGTAATAATCAAATCATCAACAACCACGTCAGGTGGTCTACAAAATTCTGTCTCTCCAAATATTTACCCATTTCAATATAAACCCATTGACTGTGTCTCCCAACTCAACCAACTTTTAGTTATGCCCTTGAGTTGATGAGTTCATGTTACCCCTAATTTGATTTAAGATGATTTATGCCCTATTTAATCGAGGGTTTGCAATGTGTATGGACGCAAGAAAATCACAGATGTTGAAAAAAAAAAGAGGATGAATTTTACGAAGTTTTTCATGAGGCGAAAGTACCTTGAAAGGTTTCTGTTAAAGTTCAGTTTGCAAACTTAACTAAGAAAAAACTTGAGGGAGAATAAGACGCAGTTGTGGGTGTCTGGTGCTGCATCGTCCCACGTTTAGTAGAGTAGATGATCCATGCTTATCTAAGTATGAGATGACAATGAGATGGGAGATCGGAATTTTTTTTTTCTGCTGAAAATGAAGGGAACACGACATTACGAAGACCATCAACATCTAGCACAACTGAAAAATCTAATTCAGTTTCCCTTTCTTTGTAATGGATTTTGTAAAGATTTGCAAAACAAATTAAAAAAATGAAAACCAATGAAAATGGTTTGAACGATAAGGACAAAATAAAAGGTAAAATGAATAGTACCAGGATTGACTTTTAAGTATAAAAATAAGATTTTTCGTTAAAGTTCTTAATTAAAAAATCGTGGGCTGATGAGTCATGTAATGAGCCTTTAAAATGGACTTGAGTCCAAAAGCGTTATTTGATGCGTTTAAGGAAAATCATGGATTGGATTTCTATTTGGATGCAAGTTCAGAATAGCACAAGATTCATGGGATACGAATTCATCGCGCCTCCTCCTTTTTGGTTATTATCTTTCTCGCATCTCTGTCATTGTCATCTCTCTCTCTCTCTCTCTCTCTCTCTCTCTCTCTCGCGCAATATGGGGATTACAAAGAAAGAAAGAGATCTAGGAAAACAAAGAAAGGAGAAGACAAAGAAAGGAAAGTAAGTTTTTCAGCTGCAGAGGGAAAATGAGCTGCTGCTGTCATATGTGGTGCCTCATTGTGGTTGCTTTCGGCTGGGTTGGGCAAGGAGTTTTGTGGTTGTTCTATTTTCGAAAATCTCCCAGATTATTTTATTTAAAAATTAAACATGTTGGGGATATTTTTAGGAATACAAGCGGGTGGAAAGGGAGTGATTGGTTTTTTAAACATTTTGATGTGAGTAAGAAAATAAGACTTTGGGGTAAGCATTGTAGAACTATGTAGGTTTTGTTTTTTTGTTTTTTTTTTTTTTAACAAATGATATTATCTACACTAAGGGAGAGAATGTGTTTAGCCTCACAATGAGTTAACAATAATGTGGTTCAAATTAAATTTGTCTTTGGCGAGAATCAAACCTAGTACATCTCACTTACAAGTGAAGAGTAATACCACTAGACCGTAATACTAAGTGGCTAAATAGTTTTATTTTATTTTTTATTTTTATTAATACAATGGTAGCGTAGTAATCTGCCTTGGCTATTACTGAGTACCAAAAGTTTTTTCATATTTAATTTTATACTTGAAAGAAATGAAACGTAAATATACAACATATTTCTATATGGCATGCTTCTCACATGTATTTCATGACAAATTGTTTCATTTAATAATCAATCAACAATAATTAATTAATATGAGTGAACAATTATCCTTAGTAAATGTCATACTCATTTAAAAATAACTAATAGATAATAACTTAATTATCTCATGCAATCAAAGACTTTGCAAGTGACCATTTACCATAACGGTAGAAAAGTGTTGGTCCTTCATTACGGCGTAAGTTCAAATCTCGTTGACTCCTAATCTAACATCTAAAGTCTAACTTAAGCATTGGAAAGCTTTTGGTTCACACCACACCAATGTGACAAGGTCTTAACGATCTTTTCTTTCTTGTGTGCAAGAACACCGACATCATTCTGCGTTTGTGTCGAATTCGTTAATATGGAAATTTAAGCAAGGAATAAAATCTTAATATTTAAAAGTCTATTATTTTCTCCACAAAAGGAGTTTTTTTTTAAGAATATGTTAACATGGAAGTTTTTATTTTGAATTGTGCTAAATCAGATATATGGGTATATCCGAATTTCACAGAAATGAAGTATGCGTAGAATGACGTCGTTCCCCTAATGATAAGTCTATCATTTTCTCAGTAAAGGTATTTTTTTGTTTGTTGAGAATATGCTAATATGTGAGTTTTATTTATTTATTTTTTTATTGTGCTAATAAGGAAGTTTAATCAAAGGAAAAAAAAAATTCCTAATATCATTAATTTATTGATTATGGCTCATACATCATAATCATATACTATGAGCAGCAAGCACCCCTATTTTTCTTTTTGTAAAATAATTAATGTTCTCTTACAATCCGCATGGAATTAATAGTCTACACAAAAAATTCATATAGGAATATTTTAGACATCCGAAAAATTTTAAACGTGTAAAATCAAATATAATTAATGAACTTACTAATGTGGAGTTAATGCTTTTTATTAGAATAAAAAACTTACGTCGGGTTTTTTTTGTGGAGAAAATTGAGTTCAGTGGCTAAAGCCATATTTGTATTAATAATTTTTTTTAACAAGCTATTTCTATACTTACTTATATGGGTTTTGACTGCTAATATGGGAGGCTTTTTTTTTCTCTTTTTTGAGAATATGCTAATATATATGGAATTTTAAGAAAAGGAAACAAATCCAAATATTCTTAATTATTAATTACGGCCATATATCCGTATACTATAAAGCAGTAAGCACCATTCCAGCCAACCCAAGCCATTTTGAATTTGGAAAAAGAAAAAGACATTGAACCCTTCTAGCAGAAAATAATGACTGCAGTTGATCATGTTGTTTACAAACTATCAAACATTAGTTTGATCTTGCTGCTGTCACTACTGTGGGGTGGTACCATTGTTGTAGCCAAACCAAACAATGGTTTCAGCACCCAACTCATACACATCTTTTCACCACAATCGCCTCTTTACCCCGGGAACATTTCCTACACAGAAGAAAATCAACTACTCTTACAACAAACGAATGCGCGAAAGCGGTACATAGATGCTACCATTGCAGCAGCCCTCCTCAGCAATAATATGTCACAAAGTACGAAGAACCCTCTTGATGAATTGCCTCGTCTTAAACTCGAATTTTACCCTTATGGCATGTACATTGTACAACTTGGGCTTGGCACTTTCGATGCGAAGTTCCCGGCCAGCACATTTAAAACATACTACTTGTACACAGACACCGGGAGCCAACTCATTTGGACTCTGTGTGAGGACTGCCTAAAGCAAAAGCCTCAACCGAGATGCTTTCAAACCAGGGATCCCCCCTTCCCTAACAGCCAGTCCAAAACCTATATGCCTCTTCCTTGTGGTGGTCACCGCCTTTGCAAGCCAGGCAAATGCAAGGGGGGTATCTGCTCCATGGACTCTACGTACCAGGACGGCAGCGGTGTCCGTACTACTCTCGGAAGTATGGATTTTGACATTAAATTTAGGTTTTGATAATATTATCCAAATCTTTGCAATATTTATTAGTTACATACAAAATAGAGCTAGATGGACACCACCATAATTTTTTTATGCGGATTCTTTAGAGTGTTTGTCAGTTTTGTATGCTTAAATAACTTTTTTTTTTTTCTTATTTGAAAAGTTCATGCTCACCACATAACTTTACTGGACCAAATATTCATTGGCTAACAAAATTTTAATTTAATTATCTCATGATATCGATATTTATTTTAGTTATGGTCTGTATATCTAATATTTTGTTCATATCTGAAACTTTAATGGTATTATAACATTTTTTTAAACCTTTTATATGTTTGCTTACATCAATATTTAGTACGTGCGCCGGCTAGCACAACTAACGCAACACATAACATAAAAGTTGTTCACTAATGAAAATGTCATTCCGTACAATTTCTCATTTCATTGCAGGTGAAGCTTTCAGTCTTTTGACAACCAGCGGGCGTGCACGGGCTATTGGTAACATAGTGTTGGGTTGCGCTTATGACGCGACGGCGGACATCTTTGGCGCGGGTGAGGACTACAAGGTATCCGGGATGTTGGGTTTGGGATATGATCCTATTTCCTTTCCAAACCAAATATCCCATCTTATTGATGGAGCATTCTCATTCTGCCTAACACGCCGGAGAGATGTTCAAACATATCTCCGATTTGGTTCCGACATCCCCCAACCACTTGGTGGCGTACGCGTCACGCCATTAGTTCTGTCTGATCTCGTACCCTATTACCATGTCAACTTGAAGGCAATAAGTGTGGATGGACACAAGCTTCTAATTAATCCGACGGTTTTTGAGATCCGGAAGCGGGGGACAGAAGGAGGATGTATTATAGACAATGGAAGTTCTTTTACTCTTCTCATCAACCCTGCTCACCAGGCATTGGTTATGTATCTGCAGATGCATTTTCTGAGATACCCTAGCTTTAACAAGGTTCTTCCCCCTATCTATCCCAAGTTTGAGCTTTGCTACAACTGGTCGCCGCCTCCGCGCGAGGCTAACGAGGCCCTCCCTACTATTACCTTTCACTTTGATGGTCCTAACCATCCTAACATTGACGTCGCACCCGAAAGCGGTTTCATATTGATGCACGACCGGTCGTCTAACAGAGATGCTTTATGCCTGGCGTTCGTTCCAGATGATGTTCGCACTATTTTCGGATCGTGGCAACTAAGCGATTACAGATACATATTTGACCTTAAAAGGAGCCTACTCAAGTTTGCTCCAGAGGATTGTGCTAAGAATTCTTGAGCAGCTCAAAGCTTAGACGATCATGCATGTCTATGTTTTCTATTTATATGTAGGTTCTCTTTGGCTGAAAATAAATTGCCTCAAGTTCTCTTATGATGATTTGGTCATGTAATCTTCTTCCTTTGATATAGAGGAGTTGGATCCTTTCATTTTCTCCCTCATTTCATTTAATCAGTATCCAAATATTTGAGTTTTTATTTCGTCTTCTGAAAGATCGCTCTTGAATTACAACCTTTTTGCTCTCGTTTTCTCCTTATGCATTCTTCTGTTTGTTCAACCCAAAGGCTATAAAAACGGGAGGAAAGCATGCAGGCGAAGTGCATAATCTCTTCCTTAAGGGCTGTAAAATGGAATAATGTAGTACATTTAGCAATGTGCAATCTATTTTTGGAAAATGTATTGGGTCGAAAGTACAGAGTTGTAAAATGAGGCCCTTAACTCAAGTGAGGCCCAAGGTAGACCTTGGTTTCCTTGCATGGTACCAATCCGCTCCTAGTTCCTAATCCCATCCAATCCGCGCCACCAAACATGGCGTATTCTAATCCCATCCAATCCTTGATTCTCATGATAGAAAAAGAGTAAATTGTAGCAATGGTCTCTCAACTTTAATCAAATTGGGCCAATGGTCCCTCAACTAAAAATCCATTACCATTGGTCCCTAAACTCATCAAAATGTGTAGCTATGATATTTTTTGTCAACTTTGTTATAATTTTGTCAAAATAAGTTAGGTTGGAAGGACCATTGCTACAATTGAGGTCCCTCAACTCATCAAAACGTGTAGCCATAGTCATTTTTGTCAATTTGGTTAGAATTTTGTCAAAATGAGTTATGTTGAAAAGACCATTGCTACAATTGGGTTAAAGTTAAGGGACCATTGCTTTAGTTAAGTTAAAGTTAAGGAATCATTTCTCCAGTTGGATTAAACTTGAAAGACCAATGGTAATGGTCTTTTAATTGAGGAACTATAGATGCGCGTTTTGATGAGTTGACGAACCAATGGCAATAAATTTTTAGTTGAATGACCATTACTCTAATTGAGTTAAAGTTAAGGGACTATTACTACAATTTGCTTAGAGAAAAACGGTGAATGATTTCCCTTCTCTTCTTTGAACCTGCGATCCAAACTCCCACAAAAACGAAACGAGAGGAGACCATCATATTTTAGTTCAAAGGAAAAAGAAGTTTTAAGCCATAATTTAACCCGAAAGATTTCGAAAAATACGAGAAAAAAAAATAGAAAGAAAGAAAAAGTAAAAAGTTTTCATCTAAGTACACAATTACAAACTACTTGGAGTCCAAGCATTACGACTGTGGATTGCAACCTACGTGCCGATCATTCGCAAGCAATCTTGGTGTCAAAGCTGCTAAGGCAAATGGCAAATGCCTGAAAGGCTGAGATTGGATACTGATAATCCATGGTGAATACATCCTTACCCACTTTTCCAAACTGAAGAATCACATTTTCATGCTCCTGGCCCGCAACTCCATTCTCCGAAGAAGAAACCAGCTGAAAATTTTTGACTGAGGCAACTGTTACTCGTCCGTTGAAGTTGAGACACCAGCACTGGAGCTGTTCGTGCCACCTAGGCGCCTTGTTTCTCAATGCCAGCATGCCTTCATTCTCACCAGACTCTAGTGGAGATGGGAAATTCTCTGTCCGGGTTGATGTTGATCTGAAAAAAGGTACGGATGGAAAACTATCCAGGTTGCTATGCAGAAATTCAGTCTGTGTGGGTGCCACGCCTCCTGGCTCAACAGCACGGGCAGGGATGGAATCCATTACACAATGCATTCTCCTCGGACCTCTGATATTGACAGTATTTACATAAAATGTTACTCACAAAAAAAAAAAAAAAACACCCCTAGAAAAAGGAAAGTTACGATCATAACGCTTTAGGTAAATTGTCTTCAACGTTAGTTTCATTTAAAGGCAAGACCAGGAAGTTTCAAAAAGAAGTTTCTCATACCTGGCACCCATGACGTTCAACTCATAAGCAATGTGGGCCACAGGATAGTTGCCAGCAGGAACTCTGGGAGAGACTTTATTCACAAGCCTGGTTGAACGACATTTAGTGACTTTGGCTCCACTATTAGTAGGTTGCGCATCATAGATTGTGAATTTAGTGCCCAGAAAATTTGATCTGTTTGAGGAAAATGGGTCAATCAACTTAGGGCTAAAAGATGATCAAGATTTAGTCATGTTAAAGGGCTGATGAACATACCTGAGTTTTCCAACAAAGGCACTGTTCCCTTTCGACACATCCTCGGCATTCAAAGAGATGATGTAGTCCGTGCAGGTTGGGCGTCTACACTTTTTTGCCGCAAGAAGGAACTTCCCATCATCAGTTGAGGCTGGCAAGTACAAAAGCTAAAACAATTACATTTACATCTGGAAAGAAAACCCGATCTTAAAATCTAGCAAAGTACTTAATGAAACCCGAAATCAAAACCTTATCAACCTTTACCACGAGCATTATAGACAACCCAATAAAAGAAAAACTTGGCAAGCACAACCACACAGGACAAAACATTCAGTAATTACCTTGACTTAAACCCAGAAAAAGATAATATGTCTGGTTGCTACGACTCCGCTTTATATAACACTGCAGAAGGGAGTTCCTTGGACCAGACTGCAATATAGTAAACAAAGACTTCAACTGATATTTCAATGGAGAAGGGGTAGATATGATAACAACATGATTGTCGAGTAATAAGAAATTAATCTAAGAAGCTTTATGAAAACTTTTAATGAGAATATATGTCAAATTTTAAAAAATCACATCAATCACAAGAATGTTAACTTTCAAATCAGTCCAAAATGTTACAAAATTTGAACGTGTCGAGTAATAAGAAATTAATCAAAGAAGCTTTACGAAAACTTTTAATGAGAATATATGTCAAATTTTAAAAAATCACATCAATCACAAGACTGTTATGGTCTTTGGAAAACTTTCAAATCAGTCCAAAATGATACGAAACATTAACACTTGAGCCAGTCAGTTGCCGCCTACCCTATACATTAAAACTTTTCATTTGGTCCTTCAAAATTATTAAGATCACAAAACATGAGCGTCATAACCATTACTAAGTGAAACACTCATACCAGTATACACAGTGTCCATCATAATTCATGAATATGCATGTCAAAATTTGCCAGCTAGCATTGTTACATACGATATAAGCATATTTTCCTAACTCTGAAAATCAATTCTAAGTTGTACCAAGAAACGTATTAACGAAAAATAAATACATTATAAAGCACAATTGGGAAATACATGAACAAGAATCTTTATTAGGAAGGATGCGGGCCGGTCTCACAAACCTGCTTCAAAGAGATCGGGAATGTCAGCTTGCCCGAAACTTCTGGGGATTTCACAATCTCCTTCATGATTTCTCTCCAATTCCTGCAAACACCAGCACAACACACCACATTTTTCCTCGGAGGCCATGTATCATCAGACGCCTCTATTCTCATCAACACATCTCTCAAAAGCTCCGGAGGCATGTTCGCCCAACAACTCTGCTTCAATGCATCAACACGAAATGAGGTATCCTGAACGACCCGCTGAGACCTCGATCTCATTCCAAATTTAACATCAAAGCTTTTCCTAGAAATGCTCCCCAACTCACCTTTCATATCTTGAATCATACTCTTAAAAGACATCGCTGCTTCCCTAACCCTTGCCTTCGCAAAACTCAAAACCGCAAAACTTCCTATGAATCCTCCAACCTCTCCAGGCTAGCCCACATTCATCTCAAAAAACCAGAACTTCACCCCGAAATGTACTTAGCCCTAAGAAACAATACCCAGAAACCTAAACCACCAAAGTTCGATGCTTTCAATCATAACAGCCAACCATTAACAATTCATTATAAAATTTCTTCCCTCAAATGTGAATCCAATAAACACCATCCTATAGATCATTGACAAATCCATTAACTGAAACATACCCAGTACAGATCAAACCGCCAACTAGAATCAAAATCTGATATTTTCCCACAGATCTCTCTTTCCAACAGTTGCAAAATTACCCTACGAGAAACTAAAAGTCTAACATTTCTGATAACCCATTAAAGCTTCACACTTCTACAGAGATTGAGCCAAACAAACCTCGGAAACCAGCTTACAGGACCAGATTTTGAGTCAGAGACTGATACCCATTTGCGACAAATGATGTGAATTTGGGCGCGGAGGATTTACATGGCTTTGGTGATCAGTGTTTTTGCGCCTGCCTGGGTGCTGCGGTCGCTGAGAGAACACTGTGATGGCAGATGATGGGTTCTGTTACCAATACACTCCCTCCTCCTTATCCATATACTTCTAGTTCCTATTGTCCGAGTTCGAGTTTGGTTCCGGGTTTGGATTGTTCTGGTGGATTGGATTAATGGGTTTTGGTTTTTCTAGTTTAGCCCAACCCAACAATGGATTGATAAGATTAAACATGGCATTTGAACAAATTTGACATGATAACAATGGATTGATGAGATTAAACAGGGCATTTGGACAAATTTGACATGATTTGGAAAAGTGGTCCCCAACCCCACCCCCCGCGGTGGGGCGGGAACACTTTTGCATTAACCGTTGGATTAATTTATTGATTTGGAGTGGATTTGGTTTTAAATGGTTAGATTTGTTTCGACCGTTGAAAGTTTCTGAGCGCTTGATGGCGCGAAAGTACTATCATAACAATGAATAGATATTGACGTAATTTTACTGTTTTGTTTTTGGAAATTTGACAATTGCGAGGTTCTAAGTTTTGTCATAACAATAAGTAGATATTACGAAATTAACTATTTTCGTTATGTGAATTGGACTGTTGAAAGGTTTTGAGCGCTTATTAGCGCGCATATATTGTCACACGGTAAGTAAATAATAACATGTTTACTATATTATGTGAATTGTTGAAAGGTTATGAGCATTTAATGCCACACAAGTATTGCGGAAATCGTGACTAGATATTGGCAGATTTACTATTTTGGATATATGATTCGACCGTTGAAAAGTTATGATTGCTTAAATTGCACGCAAGTATTATCTATGACATGAACCAGTTCGTTCTAGAATTTTTGGAAGAGATTTTTCAGTGTAACCGGAACACGGGATGATACATTATGTGTTACTATACAAATAGTAGGATATGTGTGTTAAAAAGTTAATAACTTAAAAAAATAAAAATTTTCACCACTTATATAAAAACACGTGGTGTACCACCTGTCTTCAAGTTACAATGAAAAATTAGCATCTCTGTACCTTTGTCCTGCTCTCATAGGATAATTCGTGATAAAGGTAATTGAACCTTTTTCTCTCCTGATTTGAGTGAATAGGTATGTATCCAGACGCAGGCACGTAGTCCTTCCAAATGCTTATGTCTTGTCAGGACAAATGCACCTACTTTTCAACATGGGGTAGTGTCATTGGTGGATAGTTTGCATGAATTGGGAGGTCAACGACCAAAAATCACCGTGATTGTAGAAAGTTTAATTCTCGACTTGGCTTGACACGTTCGATACTGATATTCTTTCAAATATCAGGGTAGACACGTGCTGGTCGAGACCTGAAGATGACAAAACCATATTAAAATGCATGAGAACAAGAAATAAATAAGACTTATAAATTTAAATATAATGAATATGCAATTAAGGAACGTGTTCATAGCATACAACTAATCTAGAACACTAAAAATTGAATGAACAAATGAGTGGGTCCTACCCCAAGAGGACTCGAAGATGCCGATACGGAAGTGCCTTGACGCCGAGATTGTACACCTCGATTCTAAATCCTGAGGGGGTGTAAAACAAATATGAGTGGACCAAGTTAATATATATATATATATATATATATATATTAAAACAGTTATTCAACATATGAACCTCCAAAGTTTTATGAAAACTAATAGGATAATATGTAATAGGTTTTTTGAAAATCCTAGTATGCCATAAAACCTTTCATGAAACATATGTCGTATATAGTGTGCTAGCTAGTGATATCAATATCAGTATCTCTCGACCCAAAGCCATCAATATATACCTCATGCCAGCCATATATCTCCCTCAGCCAAACATCTCCCTCGTCCGTAGGCAGAACCATGACCACTAGATACGCACAAAATCATTGAACATAGTCTTTCCAAACATAGATACATATATCTCAAAAACATCTTCATAGTATAAAGTCATTCATCATCTATACTATAAAGAAGTGTGTAAAAGCATGTTCATAAGCAGTATAAAGGCATCCGTCATCTATACTACAAAGAACATGAGTTCAATAAAATATGGTCTACCAAAATATTCTCAGTAAGCGTAATATCTCATAAAATGTAATCATTAAATCATGCTTTTCATGACACACCCTGACCTGAAATATCCATTAGGACCCCAAAGGCGTGTTGGCCGACACCAGAAAGGTGATGAAACCATAAAGTGTGATAATGTATAATGTGTGAATACATTAAAATCTTAAAATGCCTAAGTACCTGAGTGCGCTGTGAGTGGTCTGGACCCATTTCACGCATGATACAGAGCATAAGTATAGTACAATAAGGTAAGATAGTGATTATACCATCAAAAGAAGCCACCTATACTGGGAAGTGCCACAAATCCTCGTCAATACGAAAACTCTGCTGCTAGTACCTGGAAGGGTGCATAAATAGAAAATGTGAGTGAGTGATCGAAACAAGGATTTTCAAAAATCATTTCCATTATCAAAGGTAGTAACCCCTCGCCGAAAGGCTTGTATAGTTTCCAACAAATCATACTACGTAAAAGTATGAAATCAAAAGAATACTAATAGTAAACCCGAAAGTATACCACTATCCAGCATCTCATTGGCAATACAAAGAATCACGTGCTTAATAAACCTTATTAGCATGCAAGTCAGAATCACCTATGGTGACATGTACCACTGTGCACATTTCATATCACATATCTCATCATGTATAGCTAGTATATAAGTTGGAGTCACCTATAGTTGTGACATCCCACATCGCCCAGAGGAGTGATCCTTAAATGTATATTCCCATCTTTACCTAGCACGAGGCATTTTGGGAGCTCATTGGCTTCGGGTTCCATCGGAACTCTGAAGTTAAGCGAGTAGCGCACGAGAGCATTCCCAGGATAGGTGACCCATCGGAAAGTTCTCTGTGAGTTCCCAAAAACAAAACCGTGAGGGTGTGCTGAGGGCCCAAAGCGGATAATATCGTGCTACGATGGTGGAGCGGGCCCGGGAAGTGATCTGCCCTGGGCTGGGATGTGACAATTTGGTATCAGAGCCTAACCCTGGTCACGTGTGTGCCGACGATGACGTCGGGCCCCTAAGGGGGGTGGATTGTGACATCCCACATCGCCCAGGGGAGTGATCCTTAAATGTATATTCACATCCCTACCTAGCACGAGGCCTTTTGGGAGCTCATTGGCTTCGGGTTCCATTGGAACTCCGAAGTTAAGCGAGTAGCGCGCGAGAGCATTCTCAGGATGGGTGACCCATCGGGAAGTTCTCGTGTGAGTTCCCAAAAATAAAACCGTGAGGGTGTGCTGGGGGCCCAAAGCAGACAATATCATGCTACGATGGTGGAACGGGTTTGGGAAGTGATCTACCCCGGGCCGGGATGTGACAATAGTGACCTATACGACTTATTCATATCTCATCATCATTGCTAGCACATATAAGTCGGAGTCACCTATAGTAACATGTACGACTTATTCATATCTCATCCAATCGCTCAACAATCATTGCTAGCACATATAGATCATCAATCAATTCCTGCACACGAGTCGGAACCACCTAGAGTGGTATGTACAACAGGCTGGGTGTAAATAAATACGCTCAAATGCTACGATCACGTGAAGGCTATGCGAAGTATCGCATGTCACCTACGAGTCGGAACCACCTAACGTGGTCTGTACGACAGGCTGACACTTACCTTGGATCCAAGGTGAGCGTGTGGTATGGGAGGTGAACGATCACGAGGCTAAGCCCTGGCCACGGGCGGGAGCATTAACACCGAGGTGCAGGTTTATGAGCTCTAACATATCTCAATACAATCGTACTCACTACCATCATTATCATCAAATTGTACTTACCTGAATCTTACCTGAGCGTCTGCAGCGTCATTTGGCACTTCAAAGCATTCACAATAATTAGGTTCAGGTAATAAACATATGAGTATGCCATGATGTAAATCTGAAATTCAACCATATTATAAACATTTCCAGATATATAGACATATATACAAATGACATGAAATGCATAATTGTAACACCCCACTCTCAAACTATTTACTTTTGAGAATAATCATCAATGATAAGTCCAAATAGACACTAATTAAATTAACTATCACTACTTACCTTTCCTTACCTCAATTTCTTGATTCTTCACATCTTAACTTATGACCAACATTTAACTACCAAAACCTAAGGTTAAATTTCCCATTTTTCACCAATCTCCCTTACACTGCTCAATTCCACAAGCAAGGCTATTATCTCAAATATTTAGTCTCGTTTATTGTATGGCTACATCTAATGTCTCGTTAGATTGCCTACGTACCCTAAATAGGGATCAAGCCATTTGTAGTTCACTAGTCCTCCAAAGCATTAACAAAAATTATATGAAATTCAATTTGTAAACGTTTGTGGAATTATCAATCATATATATACGATAAAAGGAAAAGACCCACTCACTGGTATGTGGAAGGGTCGCAGCTCCTTGGCCTCGAGTGATTGCGCTCGTCCTCGAGATAGTCTCACCTATATGCGAAACAACTATAAAAACGTTAATTTAAAGCACATAAACAAAAAGTAAGTAATAACTTCTCAAATATTACTCAAATGGGTGTTGGAATATACCACCGTGATCTACTTAACCTCACGAACATCCCTATATTTTTAGAATAATTTTTCGACCACCTACGTCGCACGAGCCAGCCAAGGCACGGCTAGACGCACAGGCCACACGAGGCCAAACCCTAACTTGGTCTAACGGCCGTTAGGAATATTCCGTTAAAACCTTAACAAAAGTTAACGGCCTTTACCTGACGCCGTTAGAATATTCCGTCAACTCTGACAAAATATTCTCCTCCTTCTCTGGTAAGCCTTACCGGTCGCCGCAGTTCGCTGCCGTCTGCAACTCGAATTCTCGCCGATTTCTGGAAAAACTTTAAAACTTCATATCTTCTTCATTTCTTAACTAAATTCCACGAAATTTGTACCAAAATGAAGCTTACAACAAGTAGAAAAAAACCTTACAACTTTTGTGACCCAAAACCCTTGAAAACTCATCGGAATATCCTTTGATATTCTAGTCACCTCAGCAACTCGCCAACCCGAGCTTTCCGACGTCCAAAATCTTCCAAAATTATTCCTCGAGCATCGTGAAGATGTTCTAAAGCTTCCTATAAGCTTAGAATCTTCCAAAAACTTCACAATTACGTGTACATGAACAGTACCTCAAATTGGAGGTTATGGTTCTCAGGTTTTCCAACAGCTTCACGTCCTAAAAATGGTATAGCTCAACTCCTGAGCTTGAAATGAGTCCAAAAACACTAACAATGACCAAGATCCGTGAGTGGAGAGGTTAGTTTCGAAGTTGTTCGTACAATTGTACGGAAATGGAGGAAAATCTGAGAGTGAGGAAAGAGAGGGAGGGTCCAGGGGTTTGTTTTGGTGTATGTGGTGTGTATGTCCTGATGGCAGCCAATCCAAAACAAAAGAAAACAAATCACCCAAGACACCAACTAACGTCCAAGGGCAAAATCGTCATTCCACGCCATCAAAGATAACTTTCGGGACGGGCTATCACATTTCATGTATGCATTTCTACTATTAAAATATGGATTTTAGAGGGATCCACTCACAGATACTTCGCTTGCCGAAAAGCTATGCAAACTAGCGAAGATGGAAACGCCACAAATAATTGCCCCTAAGCACATAAACAATTAATAAAACTCTATTAAAATGATTGAATTTGAGAAAACATACCTCAAAAACGGATCCAGGACGTCGAATTACTCTAAGAAGGATCCTAGGTAAATTTCGAAAAAGTCAACACAAAGAATATTCCTGATTATATTCCATAAATATTCCCCAATGGACAGAATATTCGGACATCGAGATGGTCACATGTCATGGCTGATGGTCTAATGTTTCAAGTACGATTGCTACTTGTGTTTTTGATGGATGGCTTGTGAAGATTGATGATGAAAACTCAAGAGACTTGATCAATTTTTACAAAGGGGTCTATTTTCTTCTTAAGTAGGGATAAAACATAGCAGATTAATTTGGATATTATATCTGTCTCATTTGAAGAATCTGCTTAAGGAAAGGTTATTGTTACGAGGGTGCATGGACGAGGAATCTGCATTTCTGGTGAATGATGATCAGCTTAAGAAGGAAAGTCGACATCCATTGACGTTGAATCTGCAATTGTATTTGGATCACGTTGGGGTTTGGTTTGAAATGCCGGGGAAGCAGGCAAAGAAGGCAGCCTGCATATTTGGAAAGGAAGCTAGAAAATTTTCAAAAGAAAAGTCAGCAAGTGGAGAAGAAAAGAATGTCTAGGAGTAGGAGTACCATTTGCATTGATCGTAGTTTTGGGAGCCTTTGCTCGATAGCCCTTGTTGTCCCCGCAGCGGAAGCTGTCCATATCGGGTCGAGGCACAAATGCAGACTGCAAAGATCAATCAAGTAAACGAGGCTCTAAAATTGGAACTCATTGCTAATGACGATTATCGTGTGGTTTGTACGGTTGGCAAACTGACCAAGTTGAAGAAGTTGTCACATTTAATAATCTCATGGGTGCATATAGCAGAAAAATAGAGATTTTTTTAGTGCATCGATATTTTTTACACTAAAGGGACGAGAAGTTCGGCTAAGTCACATAATGGGTAGCCTAATTTGATATCGAATTCGCTTATCCATGCGATTCAAACCTAAAACCTCTCACTTTCAAGTAAAAATAAATATTATCAGACCATAGTACTGAGCGATGAAAAATAGAGATTTAACTTTGTTGGAAAGCTGCTGGCAGAAGTGAAGGTATATGTGAGAATGGAGCCAAATGTCGGATTCTATACGTCCTATGACTATTGAGCGCATATGGGAGACAGAGGAATATGAGAGGCATGGCCGCAGCCGTTGAAGTTCTAGATGATTGGTAACTTCACTTACATGAGAGGGATAAATGTAAGAATGCCAAGTGGCTCCGTCTTGGATATCAATTTGTACGCTTGTCCTCCTCTCATTTGTCAATCTCACTCGACTTGGGAATGAGAGTTTTACCTTTTGGATAATGTTAGAGAAATTAAAATTTACAAACTAAATGATGTGTCATAAAAAAAAATAGGCATGTTAATAAATAATTAAGTAACAATTCAAGTCATCAACAATCATATCATTTCACTGTGCATGAATACGGTCCGGTACCTCAAGCGTAATGATATAATTTGTTGGAGTTTTTTTTCCTTAAGTTTCCAATCAATTGTATTATCGCATTTGATATATTAAACCGTAATCCGTTACATTGAAAAATTTGTCCTCAAAACAAATGAAAATGACAATTAAGATAAAAAAGAAAAATGTAGCTAGCATTTCTCATTTTAATTAATTAATTACTTTGTTTCCTTTTCCTTAATCGTCTACAAAAACAAGGTCAGAGTTTTGTAGTTATTATAAGCAACAACGTCTGAACCTTCAAAGCCGGCCGTTGTTGTTAATTGCCCAATTGACGGGGAATGTTATACTTTCCTCGTCGCGTAGACTGCACAACACGGCCAGATCCCGGTCCCACTTCAATCCAACGGCCGTATAGTCTCCCGTCGTATATAACCCAACAGTACCCTTCAACGTTGCCTATAAATACTCCTCTCTCCTTTCTTTCGCGGTCTTTGAAGTTTCTCCTTTTCTCTCTCTAAAAACTCGTTATTAACTCCTTCGCAGTCAGTCTCTCTCTAGAACTCTTTGATTTCTTCTGTCTCTGAAACTCCGCCTGCTCCGATTGTACTCCGACTCGAATTCTCTCTCCTTCTGCTGTGGATTGCGATCACAGGTGAGCGATGTTATTTTTCTTACTTCTGTTTGGTTTCCGAGAAAGTGGAAGAAAATTTGAAAAGAGTTTTCTAACTTAGAAAGAAAAGGAAACTTTCTTTTAATTTCTTAAAGCCTTAAGCTTTACTTGAAAATTGGAAACCTGAAAATCAAATTTAGTGTATTTGTTCTATGTGTTTGAATTTCATCAAATTTTTGTTAACGTTTGGTTAAAATCTTCATTAGTGTATACGATCGAATGCTTGGTTTTTTTTTTTATTTTTTTTGGGACGGTGAAGTTTGGTAGGGTTTCGTGGCCGATGGAGGTCTCTACCTTGGTGAGATTGGGGGTGAGATCGGCCACCAGTGAAGCATCCGTAGATTCGATCACTTTGTTCGTGGTGCTCCTATGTTTGTGCATTGTGATTGGTCATCTTCTGGAGAAGGCTCGATGGATGACCGAATCAGTAACAGCGCTTCTCATTGTAAGTTTCCTCAGATTTTTATGCTTTAGAACTGGTTTAGGAATTCGATTGCTTCTCTAAATCGAAAAGTCAAAGGTGCTTCTAACCACATTTGTTAACTAATATCTAAGTACTTCTGGAAAAGCGCTTAGATATTTAATAAAAGCCATGAGTATGTTTCTAGTCTAGCAGAAGCACTTATGGGCAGAATTGGATATTACCTAATTGTTCTGAAATTTGTGGATGACTGTTATTGGGGTTTGATTGCAGGGTCTTTGTACTGGAATTGTTATTCTACTAACTACCAAAGGGAAAAGCTCACACATCTTAGTATTTAATGAAGATCTCTTCTTTATATATCTTCTGCCACCTATTATATTTAACGCGGGGTAAGCCATGTATTTCGTATCAATTTCATATCTCTTCCTTCTCATTGTGATTTGTGTGCGTGCGCGCGTGTTTGTGCGTGTGCTCCTTGGGCAATATATTCAAAAGGTGGGAAGGTTCATCATGATCAAGTCGGAGTCGTTTAAGTAACATTTTGTTTGGCATTTAACATGTCTCTAATGGGATGGATACAAAGGTTAAGTTGTTTTATACTTGCATCATTCCTCATTTTGTTTATATTGAGGTGTCTTAAATTAGGATTTTATCTGTACTTTTTCCTCACAGCTTGTTTGTGATTGTTTTTCTGTGACCAGAGTTTACACTTATCTTTCCTGGTCTCATTCTTTTCCCACACCAGATTTCAGGTGAAAAAGAAGCGGTTTTTCCAGAACTTCATGACAATCACGTCATTGGGTGCTGTCGGCAGTTTAGTATCATTCGTAATAATATGGCTAGGTTAGATATCCTAACATGCCATGCTAAGGCTGACATTACAAGAGAAACTAATGAAAACTACGGTTTTTAATGTTTGCAACTTCACGATCTTGATGCAGGTTCAATGCATTTGTTTGAAAAATTGGACGTTGGTTTCCTTGAGATGGGGGATTATCTAGGTAATCTCTTCGTTACTTTCTTATTTTAGTCTACATAACATTCAATTAAGTTTGCCCTAATATTTGTTTTGTATTTGAAAAATACATCGTTTTGTTTGCCTTTTATGTGCTCTTAGTTTTTGTTTCACTTCTGTAGCACTCGGAGCAATCTTCTCGGCTACAGATTCAGTTTGCACCCTGCAAGTGCTTAATCAAGATGAGACACCTTTACTCTACAGTCTAGTTTTTGGAGAAGGTGTTGTAAATGATGCCACATCTGTGGTACTTTTCAACGCAATTCAGAAATTTGATCTCTCTCACATCAACTCAACCATTGCCTTGAAGTTTAGTGGCAATTTCTTATTTCTGTTGTTCACAAGCATGGTGCTTGGTGCAGCGGTGACTCTCTCTCTCTCTCTCTCCCCCTCCTTCCCTCCGTCTCCCTCTGTGTGTGTGTGTGTGTGTGTGTTTGTTTGAAGAGCGTGCATGTAAATTTTCTCCGTCTCATGAAATGTAACCTAAATCAATTTTCATGCATGATATCAAATTGTAGGTTGGATTGCTTAGCGCATACATCATAAAGAAGTTGTACCTCGGCAGGTAGTGCTGATGACCATTTCTTATAATAATACACTATTTTTCAATGATCATGTCACTCTGTTCCTCTGATAATAATTTTTAAAATTTGTCCAGGCACTCGACTGATCGTGAAGTTGCACTTATGATTCTAATGGCTTATTTGTCATATATGGCGGCAGAAGTAAGATTTCGGACCTCTTGGACTGAAAGCTCCATCTAGTTTAGCTTCATATAGTTTAGCTGCAGATATTTATTTCTTGTTCAATTCTGACCAATTTTGTTCATCTTCCAGCTATTCAATCTAAGTGGTATTCTTACCGTTTTCTTTTGCGGGCTTGTCATGTCACACTATACCTGGCATAATGTAACTGAAAGTTCAAGAGTTACAACCAAGTAAGCCAACTTTGCCAATAGTTTGCGTAGCAACGAAACTTATTTGCTTTTTCTCATACAAATGCACACAGATGTAAATGTATATAAAAATACAGAACTTGGACAAAGATGTCTTGTGTCTGTTTCTCACATGCTATTTCCGCAAGTGCAGGCATGCTTTTGCAGCGTTCTCGTTTGTTTCTGAGATCTTCATCTTTCTATACGTCGGTATGGATGCCTTGGACATTGAGAAGTGGAAATTCGTAAAGGAGAGGTAACACCTATACAAGCACATCATATAATTTGTAAAACGTATAACTCATTATGACAGGCATGCATTTTTCACTTTCGTCCAAATGGAGCTTATTTTCCTTGTTCGTTTACACTTTACAGCCCTGGGACATCAATTGGAGTCAGTTCGATATTACTTGGCCTGGTTCTTGTTGGAAGAGCGGCTTTTGTATTTCCTCTATGTTTCTTATCAAACTTGGCCAGGAGATCTCAGATCGACAAAATCGGGTTTAAGCAACAGGTTAGCTATTTTCCAAATCTGTTACTTCAAACTTTTTGGCCTCTTGAATTTCTTAGTGATTGACTCGTTGACATAAGCTCAAACAGGTGACAGTATGGTGGGCAGGACTCATGCGTGGTGCTGTATCCGTGGCTCTTGCTTATAATTGGGTAAGAATAGGATCAAATTTAATGTGTTTCCTAGTTTTCTTTTACTGCCACCCAATATTGTATTTGGTTTATACAGATTGCGTGCAATTACGAGCACTCATTATTCATATGCATTTGTGTTTTAATATAAGGAAGTTTGTATTATGCTGTGTTTCTTCAGTTTGCAATGTCAACGCATACTGAACAGCGTGGAATTGCAATCATGATCACTAGTACGATAACCGTAGTTCTCTTCACTAATGTGGTAAAATACTAAATCGCTGGTTAAATTTTTTCAGTTCATATGATCAACTATTTTCTCATGAGTCCATTCTTTAATTCCAAATCGGTCTTTGGCCATTGTAGGTGTGCGGATTATTGACTAAGCCTCTCGTAAGGTTCTTGTTGCCGCAACAGAAACACTTAGATAGTGTGATGGTGTCCTCTGAGTCGGAGATGTCTCTGGCTATGCCACTCCTCGCTAATGAGGAAGCTCCAAAGTCAAATATGTCTGGCGATAACATTCCCCGTCCATCCAGCCTGCGCATGCTCTTGACGACACCAACTCGTTCTGTCCATTACTATTGGAGAATGTTTGATGATTGTTACATGCGTCCTGTCTTTGGCGGTAGAGGATTCGTTCCTTATGCTGCCAGTTCACCGAATGAAAATATGCATCAACCGCTACTCAGTGAGCAGAAAATTGTAGAGTTGTAACTTCAGGATTGATTGTTCGTTAAGTTTCTTCGGTGTAAATAGTCAAAATTATAATTTATAGGCAGTTCTTCCTGAGCCTCATCAGTCTAAGAAACTCGTTTGGATGTACTTTTAAAAATGTCTAAAAGCGTTTTTAGAGAAAATGTTTTTGGGTTCCAAAAGCACTTTAAGTGCTTTTTGCAAGAAGCACCAGTTCCAAGAAGCATTTTAAGTGTTTTTTCATGATTTACTTGCATTTTTACTAAGAATTGATTCCAAAAACATTTTCACCAAAAGCGCTTTCAGTTATTTTAAAAGCACATTCAAAAGATTATTGGTCTTGTAGTATTGTATATGGAACTTATGAAAGAGATGGGATCAATTGTACTGTGCCTTGGTGTACAAGATAGTGTTTTCAGTTAATACAACGAGGATGACATAAAACCAAAGCCTCGTCGGAAACAGACATAAAGTAGACAAAAGTCAAACCCCGAGTGAAATAATATAAAGAATTACACAAGGCCACGCAAAAGAAGATTAAGATAGTGAGTAAAATCTTACTTTATTTGAAATAACAATATGACAGATGACTCCAATTTCACAACATAACTTTAACTTGTACTCATCACTCTGAAATAAACTCGATTTGATGCTCTTTGTTTCTCTCTTCACCTGATTGACACTCTCAGATCTCTATCTCCTTGCGTGGTGACGAGAAGAGGCTTCGAGGCAGTATCATCGCTAGGCTTATCGGGAGTGTCATCCTTAGGCTTAGTGGGAGTATCATTGAAGCAACCACAGCAGCACAAGATCCTGCAATACCACCGACAGCAACACACTTCAGATTTGATTTCGTAACTTATGCTCTATAAAAAAGAATGATAATTAGAAATAAAAATATAAAGGGGTTGTTGGTCACAGATCATAATTACCAAGAACTCCAAGTAGCACTACCGTCAACTCCTGCACCGCCGCTAGATTCTCCTGCGACATTGACACGTGCTCTTCCGCCGCCTCCAGGTCCTCCTCCTCTGCCTACAGGCCCTCCTCCTCAACCTACAGGCCCTCCTCCCCCACCGCCACCTCCACCACCACCACCACCTCCACTGCCTCCACCGCCTCCACCCCCTCCTCCACCACCGCCTCCTCCACTGCCGCCAGGTGCCATCACTAACCCTTTAAACAAGTGAGAGTAGCAAATGCCAAGCCAAAAAGAAGACAACTTAATTTCAATCGGACTTTGGAGATGTTGCTCTGAGTCTGATCCCAATAAGAATATATAGAAATCTCAATAAGTTGAGTTTGATTACTCCCACTTAGTCAATTAGTCCCACTTGTTTTAAGGTCTTTTTATATTTCATTCTATATCATAACTAATTGATTTGTTGCAAGACTTGCATGTGGCATGCGTTCTGTACTTTCAAAATTTCTTTATCCTTTCTTTTATCAATAGGAGGTTCCGAGAAGAATTCGAACTTGAGAACTTTTCAATACTGAAAAGAAAATTAGCATATATCGTGTTTGTCTGTCTTCTATTTCCAATTTAACACAGTTGAAATCTCATTTTGGCGACACTGGTTTTAAGCAATAGGTAGCCGCTGTTTGTTACTCTCAAGCTTCAAGTTCTCCCATTTAGTACCTAGTTGCAATATATGATTCTCACTACTAGAATTTTGGCTAAAAGACACCTTTTTCATTGGTGTCTATTATAAAGAGTGGACACTCACATTGGTGACAAACCTCAATTGCCACCAAACAGCCACTAAATAAGCGTACATGTCCTATGTAGAGGCGTCTATTGTTACAAGCACCACCAATATTGCATTGGTGTGTATATGAATAGTACAACATTTTTATATTTTATAGTTATTTCTAAAATTCAAAATATCTCATTCTCCCTCTTATCAGTGGCTAGATTTGAAACTAACATTGGTGCCAGTCATACTCATACGCACACCAATCCTATGTGTCGATCTATATTAGGATCAGTGGCTTTGAAGATATACGCACCAAAGTGGGTGTTAATTACAACATACAACTATCCAAATGGTTATATTTTGAATTGTATTACATGCATTTTAGTAATAGCTCTGTACTATATTAAAACACATGTTCTTAATATAAAATTCACATGAAATTTAAATTTGCAAAAGGATTCACATTTTCAACCAACCACACTTTATATACAATAGATTTATAAATAACAAGGTTTGTGCTACATAAGAAAGCATATTACATTCAACGATATTGTCCAACACAACCAAGTACCCAAGGGTGATGATGGTGCATTTTATCCCACCTATGTGGCTATGCACATCCAATGCACATCAACCTGATAACTAACAAAATCCACCCAATTGGTTATATGCCTTCCCTATGGCATTTCTAGTATATACATGAAGTAAAATTCACAAAAAGGATCATAGTTAACATTTCACTTACTGATGCCAGTAACATTCATCATGCATGGATGATACCCAATCTCATCATCCATGCCAATATTCTGCACCACAACAAAACCTTCCAAATCAGTTCGTAGTTCAATTCTAATGAGACAAACTTGAATCACATCAACTCCATTTGGTCCTATCATGTCTCCATCAGCATTCTTCAACACGAACATAATTTCAGCCCTCATTTCACGCTTCATGGTCTCCACTTTCAAGTCCAGCCGTCTCTTGTGTGCCACCATTGAATCAATATGCTTTTTCCTCAATTGTGCAAGCACCTCTCTCACTTGCCTCCATCCTAAGTCTCTCAATTACAAAATTAGCAGCTTTTCTTAGCTCCTCATATGATGCTCTAAGTGCTTCAACCTCTCTAGAAATTCCCTTTTTCTCAGTTATGATATTTGACACATCAGACCACACAACACATGTCCCAAACCCTCTAACACGGTTGCTTCTCTCAGGCCCCAATACATTAGCATACACAATATGGCGAACCTCATCAGTTACGATCTCATTCCTATCCTCATACAGTTTCAGCTTTCTATTGAAATCACCCTGCAATTATCTGACAAGATTAATTACTAATGTATATGCACTCTATATAAATTTGTAATTCTATTAAATCAACAATATTCCAACCATGTTTCACAATAATACTAGTAATATGAGTGATTGTTCTGTTCTTTGGGCTACAGTGCATACCAATAAACTCATATGCATGGGAACTCTTTCATTACTCCACTGTATTAACTAATGCAAGCTTCCGGTGGCTTATGCTCTTTGTTTCATTGACATTAAATAGCAATTAATCTAAACCACTATCATTTAGAATCCACAAACCTTTTATATATCTCACATACATATAAATAGTAGCAACTGGTAGTTGATGGCATACTTACAATTATTTCAATTGATCGAGCATCCACCGGTTCCCCACTCTTGCGAGTATGTGTTAGCGTAAAGAATGTAATGCAATTTGGTTTGCTTCCATTAACTTGTTCCTGTAAACATAAAATGTCAAACAACTAATTTACACATTATTTCATATCTTAACATCAACATTCACCTTCATTCCATTTGCACTAACATGTATTTAAGTTAACATAACACAAAACAACTGGAAGAGCCTTACATATTCGTGTCTGATTTACGCGAAAGTCTTGGTTCCAGTCGTGTGATTTATTTTTAGCGCCTTTCTTTTGTTTCTAGATGATGTAGCACGCTTCTGCATATGTCAAGTTTATCATTCATTAGTTAGGCTATGTTGAAGGAAATTAATCCTAATTTCCAATACATATAATCCAAACATTTATAAACCTTCATTATATCATAACTAAATCAAGCATATATGGTGTATAAAAAAGGAAGAAATTTGTTGATTGTGTGTTGTACCTGAGCATCTATAGTATTCCATAGCTGAACTAACAATTTCCATTGGCCTTGGTTGACATGGCGATCATGACAATGGAAACTCTCCGCTAATGGTGAGTGCAGAAATGAAGTATAGTATGCCTTATTAAGACTTGCCTTGTAATGCACGATCCATGTTTGAAGCCTTGTAGAAATTCCTCCAATCAACTATATTAATTGGAAAATATGATGATTAAGATAGCATTCCTAAGAACCTAGAAAATCTTGCAATAGTATGAGGAGGCTCTACCGGATGCCCTTTGTCATTAAATTTCATCAGCTCCTTTGTACCATTGGGTGCTCATCATGGCCTATTTATTCCCCTAGGACCCTGTGCTCTACAGGTCATAAGATGACGTTCATCCACGACCCCTTCGACATTATTTGGAACCATTAAACGATCTATGTGGTCATGTTCCATTAGGTTGAATGTCGGTGGTTAAGTTTTGATGCCATCGTCAACCGGCATTGATGCAAGTGAGTTATTGTTCCTGAACCACATTAGCTTGGTCAACTACCTTTCATGTAAACACAAGACAAGTGTGTTAAATTAACATATGTAAACAAAAGCATTTCTATTTAATTCTACAATTAATTTTCTGGTAAGAAGAGAAGTGTAGTAGATACCTCCTGCAATTGCTTCAATGAAACCTCTCTGCCCTCAGATATTTTCTTGTTTGAGTTGATCGCTTGATGCAATTAAACAAGATAAGTGTATAAAGTGATAGCTATAAAGACATACACATTTAATTTTTGAAATCCAATCTTTAAATTTTTGTAGAAAGTTAAGGCGAGCGGGAAGTCCTCCCGCCTAGTAATCCCGCTCAACCATTAATTAAATGATATACCCTTATGGAGGTAAGCCCCTAGCCACACAAAATAGCCAGGTGTTTCTATTACCAAATAAAAAAATTGGCTAGCGGTTAATAATTTGGCAGTCTATAATTCGGCATATTTGGAATTCATGGTTGATAAGATTGGCATATACATTGTGTGGTCAAAGTTCAATGATTTTGTAAGGAGACTCCCATTAGAGACTATTAATTGCTGAAACCCAAATTAAATTTTTTGACAATAAGTAGGTGTGAACTTAAAAGTGCCATGCCCTCCATTATAATTTCAATTATAAATATCAAATGAAGAGTTTTTGCGACTTATACTAGTTTCAAAAACTCTCTAAATCACAGTATCACACCTAATCACCAATGGCCCCTTTATTCCCAAACGCTCGCAGACAGTTGTTTCGTAACCCAAATGAACCCCTTGTTCCTACGGTTGATCATGAAGTTATTGGTCCTATGATTCCTGCCCCAACCAATAAAATTGCAACCCTGGTTGCCACCCAGGAAAACGTTGTCCCTGTACTCACTGCCAATCATGAACATCAACGATTAGCGTAGTAATTAATGGGTTGTTCTTAAAAATTAGTTCTAATAAATGAGACACAATTGCACAAGCATGTTCTCATGTACAAATTATACTTGGAACACGCATACATGGACAAAGATCGTCATGTTATCGTGTTTTGTTTTCACACTGCAGCGACAACTGTTGGTAAATCTGTAAATATATACAAATTAATACATGAAACTTGGATAAAGACGTAGCGCGACTGTTAATTAATTTCTCATTTGTTAATTTCAGACATTTTCATCTCCTGTTTGTTGGTATGGATGTCTGGACAATGAAAAAGTTGGACACTTGTAAGCAAAAGGTATGTATTTACAGTCGACTTGTTAGAGGGGACCTCGTTCCACTGTTCATGGACTGTTAAGGGTTAAGCTTTAGGCCGCACAGTATATGTTTACACAATCCTATTTCTATCCGCTCAATAAAACTAGATATATATGTATAACTTGGGGACCTTGGGGTCAATTCGATTCAATATTACTTGGCCAGGTTCTTTTTGGGTTCTCTACCAGCAACATTAATTGGTTTTAAACAGATTGGTTACGTAGAGGACAGCACCACCGGAGGTTGAAGATCCTCCTCTCCTGCGCCTCCTCGTCCTGCAACTGCGCGCTTAATGTATGGCCTATTGGTAATGGCGTTTGATCTTTTGCTGATTATTTGGCTCTTGAACTCATTGACATAACTCAAACAGCTATGTGTTCTAAAAATCCCCATTTTGCGCCGTCTAGGTGCTAGGCGGCTGGCCATTGCTCCGATTAATACCTAGGCGTTTGGAAATTAAGAAATGGCGTCTAGACTTGCTGAGGCGCCCGCCTGGACCGTCCAGGCACCCACCTATCCCGCTCAGACTCACCTAGGCACCAACCTAGGTTGCGACTCACTTAGACAGAAATAGATAACTTTCATTTTGCATTTTATTTTATTTTCAATAAATTGTAAAAGACTTGTTAAATACTTAAATGAACACACTTTATATGCTTGTTCCCATGTTTTGACTATGTTTCAATACTTCATAATATTTATGTTAATTGATTTTGTAGTTTATGATGGAATTGTACATATTTTAAGTATAAACAGACACTTATTTACACGAAATATAATAGATATTCTTAAATTAGCCTAGGTGTCTGCCTAGCCGCCTGGGCGTTAGGCCCCAACTACTGCCCGACTAGCACTTAGCGTCGTTTATAACATTGACTATGTGTTAATTGTGATGAGGAATGGTGATGAGTTGTTGTCGTGGTAGGATGATCCGGGCACTGTCCCATGGGATTTAGGCAAGATGATACCTCGCTAACGACGTTAGCGAGATCCAAATTCCGGTAGCATTCCGGCCCACCTCGCTAACGAGAGCTAGTTTTGTGATGACTATTGGAAAATGTTTTATGATGGTTTCATGAGTCCTGCCAGCCATAGAATAATATTTATAACTTGTAGGCACTAGGCACTGCTAGCTCCCTCTGAACCCCATCGATCAGAAGAGGCAAAATGCTTTGTAAAATGACACTTCTAACAGCGTTTGATGGACAACTTAAACATTCTTCTCAGCACTTGAAATTTCAATAAAAATCATGCGCTTGTAGCAAAACGTTATGAGCAGAGCGCTTTCTACATGAGCATCTCTAACAAGTCGTTGAACTCCTTTCTATCTCACAATTCCTTTGACATAAAGGTTGGCAGATTTTGTAGTATGCTTGTAGTTGGAATTTTTTTTCTCAATATAAAACACTCATGTCAATAAAATGATTTGAATCCGTTATTTTATTGGAAAAAGAAATTGGAAAAAATGCAAACGGACTTCTGAATTTGATGAGAAAAAGAACGATATTCTTTCTTAAGAGGATTACTCAGTCAGTACATCATCAATTTGGAAGAGATTAAAGAACAAGATTATTCAAAGGAATAGTTTTAACAAAATGATTCAGAATTCACACTCTGTACCCTGGTCAATGAATAAAGTAACACAGTTCTAAAAATAAACAGTGTAGTGGTAAAACAAATTGGCATCACAAGATTCAGTAGGGAGGAGGTCCTCCGGGAGGACCATATCCACCATGAGGACCGCCGCCGAAGCATTCATGCAGCAAACCGCAGCAGCACAAGAAGTAGAAGCTGCAATATTCCAGTTTCCCCAGCAATAACAAGAAGTAAACACTTCAGATTTCAATTCATTACCTTCGAATATTTAAGGGAAGCGATTTTTAACACTCCTCTTTTATCTAAACTCCAAAACTGAATATTTAGAACTTTTTTATGCATTCGCAAGTAGAGTTCAGGATGCTAGTTGAGAAGTATTAAAATCGCTGAAACGACAAACTTTGCAAGCAGTGTCAAAATAACAAATCATATAAACATCAGAATGGCGCATAAGAATAATGATCAGAAACAAAAATGCTATAAGGGTGTGTTCAGAAATCGTAATTACCAAGAAGATATCATGCTGCATAATCCATCAGCAAACCCTCCAAAAAAGCCAGGTCCTCCTCCCATGAAACCAGGGCCCCAAGGACCTCCCATGCCAAAGCCCCAGCCACCAGGTCCCCCAGGCCAGGGTCCCCATCCACCAGGTCCCCCAGGCCCTGGCCCCCATCCGCCAGGTCCCCCAGGTCCAGGGCCGCCCCATCCACCAGGTCCCCCAGGTCCAGGGCCACCCCATCCACCAGGTCCTCCAGGTCCAGGGCCTCCCCATCCACCACCGCCTGGGCCTCCCCAGCCACCACCTCCAGGACCACCACCGCCCGGTCCTCCCCCACCAGGTCCTCCAGGATCCATCACTAGCCCTCTATCTCACAATTTAACAGCCGCAGCCACCACCCAGTCGAGGCAACAATAGTAAGACTGCCTAGATGTAGCTGATCCGAATAGAGAATAGAATATCAAAGCTAACTAAACAAGTTTTCAGTTGCCTGTATGTAAACAAAATCAACGTGAGAAGTGGGAAATGGGAACAGATGCAGGCAGGCAGTCTGAGAGAATACTTACCGTAGAAGTCAAAGCATATTCGAAGTTCATGTACAGACTCTTCTAATAACTATTACCACCAAGCCTGCAAGTCAAACCACACAATCTGTCTACCTACTATTCTAACTTGCATCACTGATCTGCTTACAATTTACAATTAGGTCATGAAGTCAATAATATTAAAAATTCCCCTATAGAACCAGTTGTAATTTCCCAATTTGATCAAAGTTCAGCTAAACAAATGACCAATCTGCATGACAGGTCCATGAACTAGAGTCAGAGACATAGATTCGATACAAGTCTCATAGGGATCATAATCTGGATATCCTCCACCAATCCCCGGATAAAAAGAACCATTTGTGAAATAACTCCGATGAGAAGAAAAAACAAAGGCGTTAGGAGACCCTCCTAGCCCAACCCTAGACACTCTAAGATCCTTTTTCAAACTTGCTCCCATTTCGAGTCAAGAGATAGATAAGAATTAGTGGTATCCGATCGTTGTCACATTGTGTTGCCAATAAATATGTTACTGACAACAATGAAAAGGGTGAATTCACATCATGCACGGTTTGCAAGCTCTAATGAAGCTAGCAATAAATTAGAATCCATCCAGTGAAACCTAAGCATAATGAAATCAACACATTGATCTCCTTGCAATAAATTTTAACTTTTACACACTTTTAGTAGCAAACCGTAAACAACTCTTTTTAACAACTGATATTTTTGGCCACAAAGAATTAGTGGGATTGGATCACTCCCCGACTTTGAGATCAGTTCTTGATGAGTTGAAAATTTTAAGTGTGACAGCCGCTTGGTGTCACCCATCCACTCACTAGTTACAAGAATGAAAAGGGCGAACTTGCATCTAATCCAAGTCCAAGTGTTACTTACAGCAATGAAAAGGGTGAACTCGCATTGTGTGCGAATCGGACGCTCCAATGAAGCTGAACGAATAGGAACACCAGTTCTGAAAAACCTCTCGCATATCATCTCCCCTGTAACCCAAACACCAAACCCTAACTAAAGCTCCTCTAACCACCAGCCTCTTGTTACGGCTAGGTGTAGGAGGTGTAAAACTTTAGAACTCTCAGGTTTCCAGCTCAGAACGTGCATACCCATCAACTGATGGGTTGCGTGTATTTATAATAATTTTGAGATTACATCAGGGGTTTATCAACCCTATTTAGACGGCAATTTTTGAATTTGAATAATACAACATCTGTGAAATCAAACTTTCAAACATTTAAAAATAATCTAAAACTGTTAGAAATAGCATCCTAGTTGGAGTCTAGATATGATTGTAATCCTAATTATAGGTGTATTCCTATCTTGTAGGGATAGTACCTTGTTGTGCAAGGAATGTAATTGTATATATTTTCTTTTCTTCACGTATCAATGATATACTTTTAGCCACACATTCTTTTTCTACATGGTATTAGAGCAGGTTGCAAACCCTAGCTTTTTTTTCTCAACCACAAATTTTTTTTTCGGTAGTCATCCCTGCCGTTTCTCCTTTTATCATGGGAGACTCTTCTTCCGATGGTAGCACCAACCCTTTTTATCTTCACCATTCCGACCATCCCAATCTTGTTCTTGTCTCCAAGAAGTTAAACGGAGATAACTACACGACCTGGGCACGCGGGATGCACATCTCCTTAAGTGCCAAGAATAAACTTGGTTTTATCACAGGTGATATTGAAGAACCCTCACCTTCCGAGGACCCTGATGCTCACGCCTCTTGGAGGCGCTGTAATGATATGATCCTTTCATGGATCCTTCATTCCCTGGAGCCCGACCTTGCCAAATCAGTTCTTTTTTCCACCACCGCTAAGGCTGTTTGGGACGATCTTCATGAACGTTTTTCCCAGTCTAATGCTCCCAGTATCTTCCACCTGAATCGTGAAATTGCCACCATCTCCCAAGGGTCCTCCTCGGTCTCAACATATTTCACTCGCCTAAAAGGTCTTTGGGACGAGCTCGCCTCCTATAGTGATGCATGTTCTTGTTCTTGTGGCACCAAACATGATCGCCAACAACTTATGCAGTTTCTTATGGGTCTCAATGAATCGTTTGCCGCCGTTCGGGACCAAATTCTTCTAATGAATCCTTTGCCCACAGTCCGCCAAGCTTGTTCCTCTGTTTCTCAAGCCGAAAAACAACGTGCCCTTGGTTTTTCACGTACTGCCGAGCCTCCTGCTGCCATGGTGGTGCGTAGCTCTCCTCGGTCTTCGTCCGATCGGCCTCCTCTACATTGCACCTATTGCGGTTATGACTTCCACACTCGTGATACTTGCCACAAGCTTCATGGGTATCCAGTAGGACATCCTCTTCATGGTCAGCCATGGAGACCTCCCCGCCGATCCTCCACTTCCGCAGGTTCTGCCCGCAGCAGCGTTGCTGCTCCATCTGCTCGCAGCAATAATGCTGCCTCTCGGCCCATCCGCAGCTCCGCAAGCCTCTCACGTCCTGGCCCATCTGCTAATCACCCACATCAGCCCATTTTGGATGATCTACTTCTACACTCTGGCCCACCAGCCCATCACACGCCGTAACCCACTTTGCATGACCTGCAGGTTGCCATGCCCCATCTTTCTGCCGAACAGCATCATTGTCTCCTTGCTGCCCTCAATGACAACACAGCACCTACTCCTCAGGCTCATGTCGTTTCCCGTGATCACTTTGCCACAGGTTTGTTACCCGTGGCTTCTCGTCATGGTCAATGGATCATTGACAGTGGCGCCACGAATCATATCACTTCCTCCGCTTCATGTTTGGTTAATACTTCTGCTTCGCACCTGCCACCTGTTTCTTTGCCTAGCGGTGACACTGCTCCAATTACTTTAACTAGCACTCTTTGTTTAAATTCTTCGATTGACTTGGAAGATGTTTTATGTGTCCTTAATTTTAAAGTGGACCTTTTATCGGTTGGTAAGCTTACAGATGGATTATCGTGTTCCGTAACCTTTTTTCCTTCTTGGTGTGTTTTGCAGGACTTGGTTTCGAAGGCGATGATTGGTGTGGGTAAGCGACGTGGTGACCTTTATTACCTCGTGGCCCTTACCTCCTCACTTCCCACCCGTCCACCTCTATGCAACCTCATCACCATCCCATCCTCATTATGGCATCGACGTCTTGGTCACCTTTCTCCTAGCCGTTTGCAAGCTTTAGCCTCTAATTTCCTTAATTGTTCATTTGATTCTAGTCATGTTTGTGATGTTTGTCCTTTGGCCAAACAAACTCGTCAACCTTTTGCTTTAAGTTCAATTTCTACAACTTTTCCTTTTGATTTAATTCATTGTGATATTTGGGGTCCGAATCGTCAATCTTCCCTTACTGGTGCTCATTATTTTTTGACTATTGTGGATGATTTTTCCCGCTTTACGTGGGTCTTTCTCATGACGCACAAATCTGATACTCAACAACTAATCAAATCATTTTTTGCCTATGTTAATACCCAATTTCACACTCAAATTCGCAGCATTCATACCGATAATGGAGGAGAATTTGTTTCTCTTCGCAATTTTTTTTCTGATCATGGGGTTCTTTTTCAAACTTCTTGTGTTTACACTCGCAACAAAATGGCGTTGTTGAACACAAACATAGGCACCTTCTTGAAACCGCTCGCTCCCTTCGCTTTCAATCACACCTTTCCCTCAAATTTTGGGGTGAATGTGTTCTTACCGCTGCTTATACCATCAATCGTCTCCCTACCCGACTTTTACATAATAAATCTCCTTTTGAGGTCCTCCATACTACAACCCCATCCTATGACCATTTTCGCGTCTTCGGTTGCCTTGCTTATGCCACCTCTATCCATCCTACCACAAAATTTTCCCCTAGGGCCCAACGATGCGCTTTCATTGGTTACCCTCATGGCCAAAAAGCATACAAATTATATGACTTAGACACTCATCGCACCTTCACCAGTCGAGATGTTATTTTCCATGAAGATTCCTTCCCTTTTGCTGCCACGTCCCCACCTACCCAATCCCCCACACCTTCTCTGCCAATTCCACCTTCCCCGGACTTTCCCTATCCCCTTTCTCCTGGCCCCACGTCCCCTTCACCTCCTCCTACCATACCCATTCCCCTACCTCATGTAACCGACACCACATCACCTCTTCCCCCCTCCACTTCTATGCCACCCACTTCTCCCATTTTAGTCCCGGCCCCACCTGTCCCTTCCTCCACCGACACTTACCCCTCTTCTCCTAACCTCCCCACGGCCCCTCTTAATCCCTCCTCACCCACGGCACCTCCACCTTCTTTACCAGCCACCCGCACCTCATCTCGCACTCACCATCCCCCGTCCTATTTAAAAGACTATGTTTGCTCGCAAGTGATTTTGCCTCCACACCCATCGTCTTCGCAGCCCAGTTCTGTTAAAAGTACGTGATATCCACTTTGTAATTTTATTCTTACCACCGTTTCTCTCCCAATCATCTTTCATATATTTACGCTGTCAGTCGGAGTTTGGAGCCATCTTCTTTTGCAGAGGCTGCTCGTGATCCTAATTGGCATCGTGCCATGAATGAGGAGCTTGAGACTTTACATGCCAACGGTACTTGGACATTGACTCCCTTACCTCCTGGAAAAGTTCCTATTGATTGTAAGTGGGTGTACAAACTAAAGCATAATTCTGATGGTTCTATTGAGCGTTAAAAAGCTCGCTTGGTGGCTAAGGGTTTCACTCAAGCCGCAGGTATTGATTATCATGACACTTTTTCTCCTACTGCCAAGATGATTACAGTGCGTTGCCTTCTTGCCCTTGCTGCTAGCCAGTCTTGGTCTCTCCATCAGCTTGATGTTAATAATGCTTTCTTGCATGGTGATTTGGATGAGGAAATTTACATGTCTCCTCCTCCTGGTCTTCGGCGACAGGGGGAGAATCTTGTGTGTCGCCTTCACAAGTCTCTTTATGGTCTCAAGCAGGCTTCTCGTCAATGGTTTGCCAAGTTCACTAGTACCATTCTTTCTGCCGGCTTTCAACAATCCAAAGCTGACTACTCACTGTTCACCAGAAAGTCCGGTACTTCTTTCACAGCCTTGCTCATTTATGTAGATGATATTGTGATTACAGGCAATGATGTTAGTGCCATCGATTCTCTGAAGTCTTTTCTTCGAGATCACTTTCGAATAAAAGATCTTGGTGATTTAAAATATTTTTTGGGTATTGAGGTTTCTCGATCTCAACGTGGGATTTATATTTCACAACAAAAGTATGCACTAGAGATCCTCAAGGATTATGGTTTTCTGGGAGCACGGCCGATTGCTTTCCCTATGGATGATACAAAATTATCTGATCAAGGAGAACTTCTCAAGGATCCTGAAAAGTATCGGCGGTTAATAGGACGGTTAATCTACCTCACCATCACTCG